ATTATGAAATTAATCTATTTTTACCTACTTCTACCTATTCATATTACCTAGATAACAATTATAATAGATAAATATACATAATAGTAAGAAATCTCCAATAATTTTTGGAATTTGTCAACTATTATAGAATCTTTATCAAGTACTTCTTTCAAGTTGCAACTTCACTTATACATTTGACTTATAAAGACAAACTTTAATAGAATTAAGAAACAAAAGTAGCATTTGAAGATTTAAAGTTAGCCTTTTGTTTTTGTACCAATCTTATATTACGTCGACTTTTGTAAATCATTTTTTATACAAACAAATGTATCAGACTTTGCTTTATTTAATATATTATCTTAAATAGAAACAAATGATAAACTTCATCTGATAGCTTTATTTCAAAAATAGTCCCATATTACAAAAAAAGATTTACTTCAAGAATAGCACCATTATTTAGAAGACACTCTTATTTCAATCATCATATATACAAATCATAAGAATCTTGAGTATTTTATGCCAACATGTATTTTGAACTGTTGTAAAAAAATTTAAGCATATCTTTCTCAAGATTCAAATTCATGATCACTTATCGACTAAAAAAATAAGGTTTGTCAAATGCACATTCTAAATGATCTTATCTTATATTTTTATTTTTTTAAAAAAATGTCACTTTTGATCAACAATGGATAATTCTCTTAAAGCTCAAGCATCTTCATCTTTAAAGAATGAAATCAATACTAACTATTGATTCAACTTTCATTATATAAGTTCAATCAAATATGTCTTTTCATTCTCTTATTCATGATATTAAAGAAAATCCTTCAAAGTCTCATGATATTTTCAAGTTTGAATTTAAAAACAATCTACTATATTGTGAGGAGTACTTACATATCCTAGAAGGTGAAGCTTAATTATAAGTTCTTCAAGCTTATCACAACTTTTTAAGAGTATAACATTTTAGATACAATAAGACTTTGGAGCTAATATCCAATAATTTTTAGTGGCCCCAAATGTAAAAGGTGATCAAAAATCTTGTACAATCCATTGATATTTACTCAAGATCAAAAACTCTTTGTCATTGATCTTATAGACTTTTTCAGCCATTACTCATTTCAAAACAACCATGGTCTTTTATTTCTATGGATTTTATCACAAATCTTTGAGTATTAGATTCTTATGATTTTGTGTTCATGATATTAGATTGTTTTAAGAAGATGTCATATTTTATACTATATACAAAATCTATCATGGATGAAGAAATAGCTAAGCTTTTCTTTGACAACACCTATTGCTATTATGGATTGCCTAAACATATTATATCAGATAAGAATACTCAATTTGTATCAAGATTTTAAAGAATCTTTTTTAAGATTCTAAAAGTGGACATAAAACTATCTTTGACTTTCTATCCTTAAATTGATAAACAAATAAAGCATATAAATCAAATTTTGGAGTAGTATTTGAGGTATACCATCAACTACCAATAAGATGATTGGACAATTCTTTTGCCATTGGCAAAGTTTGCTTATAATAATATGATACATTCTTCTATACAACAAACAACTTTCTTTGCTAATTATGATTATCATCCATGACTTGATGCTTTTGTTTTTTCAAAAGTCGATAATCTTGTGGCAAAAGATTTAACAAATTATTTATCTGAGCTATACACAATAATGAAGATGCAACTAAAGAGGCTCAAGAACAAAAAAGAGTGAAACAAATCCCTATCACTAGAAACAGCTTCATTTCTACATTGGTCATAAGATATGATTATTTTATTATAATATTAAAACTATTCGCTCTTGTGATAAATTAAATTATTGTAGACTTAGACCATTTTCTATTTGTAAACAATTCAATCTAATTGCTTATTGATTACATCTACTAAAACTTATGAAAATCCATCCTATATTTTACGTATCTATTTAGAAGTCATATTAGACAATGAATATCTTGAGAAAAAGACAAAAACTATCATTTCATATAAAAATGTGTAATAATCAAGAATTCAAGATAAAAGAAGTCTTAGATTTGAGGCAACGCAAACTTAAGTTGGAATATCTTATTCATTGTTGTAGATACAATATTAGCAAATGTACATGGGAGCTAGCAAAAAATCTTACAAATGCAACAGAGAAGATCAAAGCTTTTTATTAACGACATCCATCAAAACCAAGATGAAGGATAGCAAACCTTTGCAATAAAAGAAACACAATTTGAGAAAGATTGCATTCTATCTTCTATCCTTGTTTATAGTTTTTATGTAACTGTAGCGTTAAGGAGATAGAGAATCAATAGCTAGTAGATTCAACTTAAAAACCATCATTTGTTGACTTATCAAGCAGAAATTTTTAATTATCATAGTCCTCTAGACAATGTAATAGGAATGAAGACCTTTAAAAATAACATGTTCTTCCTCAAATAGATGGCAAAATATAATGTGTTTAGTATCACAACTTACAAAGAGAGTCTCAATGTTTGGTGAATTTATTGGAAGTAGAAACAATTCTTGATAGTACTACAAATATTTTGTTTGAAAGAAGTTATAAAGGTTTCAAGAATAAACAAATAACAAGGTGATCTTCTTGTCTTAAAATGAGATATTAGTGATAGCTAAAAGGACCAATCAATTACCTTCAAAGAAAACAAAGATCAGAGTATGTAGCAAATATAATTTTTCATATCTTAGACTTCTTCAATATGTGATGACCATTCTTTATAGAAATTATTTCTAAAAAGAGGAGTATTATCACAGACATATATTTATCATAATTATTAACTAGGTAATATGAATAGATAGAAGTAGATAAAAGTAGATTAATTTCATAATATCTTCTAAAAAAGCTTCTCCAAAGCTATATAGATGTTATTTAGACTTTACATGTGTTTGTAGTTGATAGATAGGTTAGAAACTTGGTCAACAAATTAATTACATGCCACACCTATTATTAGCTTACAAAACAAGTTAACTATAAAGCATCCATATAAAAAACTTGCCTTACAAATTAAGATACATTGTTATCTTGTAACACAACTATATGGTGAAAGATAATAATATGGATCTTATTATAAAAGAAGTTAAAAGATGAAGTAAAAAAATATAGATAAAAGATAGGAAGGTAGTAAAACTTTTAGTAGTAATGTTGTCTTTTTAAAAAAGTGGTTTCTACTTACTTTATAGGACCATAAATAAGCCAAAATAAGATAGATTAGAGAAATAAAAGATATATTCACATGTAGGAAGGAATTAGGAGTTGGTTTTAATAGAATTTAACTCAAAAGGGACAAAAATTGATACTTGGAGAAGGCCAATTATGAACCTGAATTGAAATCAAATCCCAAGGCACAAAATTGAGTCCCTACAACAAATCAAGGATTCTTTTGTTGATCAAAGAATGAGGTTTGAGAGGAGACTTGATAGGATTTCTATGTGCATTGATTTTGAGGGTTTTAGATGAATAATAACTTTGTAAGAGCTTTGGAAAGTTGATATTGTTTTTAGTGACTTTGATTTTTAGAAAATAAAATAAGATTGGCGTTTTAGACAACTTCAGGAGTTTGGTAATAGATCTACAAGTGAAATTTTCTAAAGTTGTGGTTGTAGTTGTGTTAAATGTGTGTTGTAAATTTGAGTTTGATCAAACAGTTAGATTGAAAAGCATGAAGGTTTTTGTGGATAATAGTCTTGAAATTTAGGGTTTTGAAGACTAGTGAGGTTTTCTTAGATATCTGTCAATCTGCCAATTAGATTGAGGGAAGTGTTTTTCTTAGAGGTAGTCAGCTTGATTTCTAACAAGTATGTAAAGTTTGGCAGCAAAGTAAAAATTCAATTAGGAGTAATTGGCTCTAAGAGATTGGCAACAGAGTTGGAGAAGGAGGCCGACTGACACCCAAGCACATTTTTGAGCTTATCATCTATTTGATAATTCTGATCATTTTCAAAAAAAAATTGTGTTTATTATTAACTTAATTAGTGAAGAATTTGTAAAATTTGAGTTGAATTCAAGAGTTCAAACATTAGTTATTGAATTTCAAAATCTATTATAAGATTGGTAGAAATTTATTTGAGATTTAAAAAATTGATTAGGGTTTGGTTAGGATTAGGATTTGATTAGGATTAAGATTTGGTTTGGTTTAGACTTTGGTTTGAATTTGTTTAAGATTTCTTTAGGGTTGGATTTGGATTTCTTTAGGATTTCTTTAGAATTCCTTTAAGATTCTTTGAAGGTTATTTTGAATTTCTTTAGGTTTTTTTAGGATTTTGTTGTGTTTTTTTTATAATTTATTTTTAAAATAATATAATAATAATAATAATAATAATAATAATAATAATAATAATAATTGGACTTAATTGATGTTTGATTATATTTGTTAAGCTTCTATAGCAATTTATATACAATTTTATTAGAGTGATTAAGACTTATTGTTGCAAATTCCTTTTATCTTTCACAGCCAAGTGTCCAATGCATTCTTAAGTAAGACTTCACATAATATGACAACATGTTGTATAAAGTCAATATGTTTTGAAGGTCCTATAGAACATTGCCACGTAGCTCTTAGATAGATAATATATATAGAGGCAGTAATAAAACCTTCTCTCTTATCAATTCCTTTCTTGTTTTTAATCTAATTTTAAGGAGTCTTTGATTTTCTTGTTTTTTGGAAATAGACATTTTAATTTCTTTTTAATACACATACTTTCTTATTTCTATTTTGCCATACTTTTTTGAGAAAGTCTCATTTGTTTATTTGCTTTCATCAAGTTTTTGTCTTTAATATTGAAATAGATGAATCAATTTGGTAAATTTTTTAATCTATTCAACATTTCCATACAAATATATATATATATATATATATATATATATTGAAATCTCTCATCTATTATTATCATAATAAAATATTAAAATATTAAAATAAAATAATAATTACCACTACTAAAAAAAATTATAAAATCAACTATCATGCATAATCATACATCAACTATTGTACATGTCAAACTGTCAATGGACATTGCATCATATCAATTTGTCCTACATTATTGATTTCCTCAACATTCACTATTACATTGAAAAAATCTTTCCAATCATATGCTGTGGAAATTCTGTTTTTTAAACCAGATGAGTGTGATCTAAATCTACATCATTTCCAAAGCTCCTGAAGCAAACGGTCACACAACTAAAATATTGCATTTGGCTAGGACGACAAACCAAAGGCAACTTGTGACACATTCCTCCGACCCTCCAGAGATGAAACATGAATTTACTACCAAAGCTTTTAACGATCACAGGAATCATTCAAATGAGACAACCTCCTGATTTACAGTAAACACTGATTTATTGGCAGACGACTAGACGTAGCTTCCATGTTGTGTAAATGCGTTTCTCGTATCCGTGCAGCATTTGAAACGATAGACGATACTCTTCCAACAATTGTTCAATGCAGATACAATTTGGTTTATACACTACGTCCTACACACTTACATGTGGCTCCTCCAAATAAGGAAGAGCTTCGAGTCCCCCTTGCCGAATATTGTGACATAAGCTGTCACAAAAAAGATGAGACAGCCAAAGCACAGGAGAAGGACACCGCACCCAAGTCTCAAATAAGTCTTCAGAGCTTTAGTGCAGCCAGATTCCTCTTGTAGAAACGGAACTTCAGTGTCTGCATGGTTTACCACGTCGACTTGACCCAGTTTGTTCTTCAGTAAGATAAAACCAGGTATGATGAAGATTACTAGGACTCCACCGGTAGATCCAACAATCGAAAAAACCTTCACAGATATTTCAATCCACATGATCAGTGAAGTGAATAGCCAAACCGATATTACTGTCATGCGTTACACAGCTATCTCTATAGCGCCGTTGTCATCACGTATAAATTTGAGCATTAACATAAAGAAACGAGACGAAAGATAACTATCCCAAGCGCTGAAACTAAGAGATGTAGGGCAAGAATCTTACAGCCCCAAGATCAGACGTAATTAAAGAAGTCACTAATGCAGAGCCGCAGAGAAACAACGTCAACAAAATGTGCAGCGTCGGTGAAAACCCCTCACTGATTCGATCACGTAGAACATATCTAACACCATCTTCCAATATTGTCCTGCACGGATAGTGACAAACTGGAAAACAAGCTATTGATACCTGAAACATTACAAAAGGTGTCGTCAGAAGAATTTCAGCAATCAACAATATAATTATGAACTGATGACATTCAATACACCTCGTAGCCAACCCGCCAGACGAAGATCATATGTACCTCAGCTACAAGAAGCACTCATGAACTCGCCTACTTTGCAAGTGATTGGACCATCTTCCACGGCACATGGGCTCGAAATTGTCTTCCAGAGAACCAACATAAATATATAAGGGTACACAGTAAACAAGCAGAGTAAGGGTCACAGAATTTCTACCGCAGCCATTCCGACACGCGCAATGTTTAAATAAAGGTTACTAGAACCAAAACTGATGAGAAGATCGCTTTGCACATCGGGGTACAGCAAGTAACCAAATTCACCCACCTGCACAGCATTCACATTTGTCAGGACATTAATGTGCATCTCTGCATTTCATAGAACGGTTGAGAACTTCCAAATAATATCAAGCTATCTATCTTAAACCCTTCACGACATGTGAAAGGAAAGGGTAATAACCAAGGCGTTAAGCTTAGTAAGAAAGGCACGTTCATGAAACAAGATTATTACTGCAGACAGGTTCACAATGAAAAAACCTCAGATTGAAGCAACTGAATGTATCTACTTCCGTGGAATTTCTCACTTACAAATCCCAGCAAAATCAACAATTATTTCATGAACATGCATTCGGAAGAAAGAAAGAAATCGTACCAGACAGTAGCTAACGAGGCACACTGTCATGGATATCATTATACAGTGGTCCATACGCTTCACTCTGCTAGACTTTCTTTGACACAGCTGCTCTTCGTTACTTTTGTCCTCATCCCCCAAAAGGGGCTCATTCAGACGTTCATAAAAAAAACCATTGGAATTGTCAGCAAGCTCAGCAAATATTGGCATGACCTGAGAGACGAGCGTTTCTGATGTTTGTCAGCTATATTTACACATGTTACTCCACAATCCATTAATATTTTGAGGTGTGCAGAGAACATACGAATCTATAGCTCGACAAAACATTCAAATGATATCTACCAAAGAGGCAACTTTGTACTGAAGGTTTAATAGGCTCCCGCTTCTCTTACTTGGATATGGCAGTGAAATGCGAAGACCAACACATCAAGAGCAATGAACGTATGGTAACCTCCCTCAAAATAATTGATCTGTTCACATCCGAGCAAAGATCACCAGCACATTTCTCAGAATTGAACATATTATCCAGGAGCGTAAAATTGAAACAGACCAGCGACCTCAAAAAGAGGCGATCCTCCACTCTTTTGTAGTATATGCAGAGTCTTGAGTGTGTTGTGGTCCAGAATGAAATAACATGGCAGCTGTAACGTTTTCAACCTATAATTCGATGGAAAAAATCTTACATGTTCGGGAAAACCTGCACTAATCAGGTGACTGACACTTATCGCCACCAAAGCAATCGCTAAGTATGAGAGCATAACCACCTGCACGGACGCCAAGTTTATAGTAAACACCGCTCAAGTTCTACCAGTAACACATCGTGATCACCAACATCCAGACGTAGAAAGAGAGTGTCAAGCTGCAATGAATTCATAAAAACCTACCGATACCGTGCTACTCCATCTCAAATCTCGGATGTTCTTTTTGAGGGAAAGCGGCAGAATCACCACCATGGCAAAGAATACTATCACCACTCTGCCAAATCCCTCATCCCCCGCAATCAACACCAGTCCTCATGCATATAAAGCTCCAGGTTGCATTAAGATAAAATAAAATAAAAACAGAACATTGATTGTTGAGTAGAGGAATGTGTGAAAAGGACACTAAGAATATGCAAATAATCCCCTAGCTATGAATATGTGACAGGTTAGCAGACATCACATAACTCATGCGAGAACTCAAAAGGATTTCTTCTACTGATGTATGACTTGTACTAATGAATTCCCGCACACATCAGAAAGCGGGACTTCATTTATTAAGTATCGGAGCGGAATCCACGAAGTTATTCTAGATATGATCTCATAATAAAAATAAATAAAAACTGCTTACCTGCGGTCGGCAAATAAGCTGTGCTCTCCAAACCAACTGGCAAAAATAGGTTGAAAAACATCCCCTACAAACAAAACAAGGCCAGACTGATGATTCGGAAAGCAGCGACTCGATATGGATCGATAATGCATGTTCTGAGCTTTGAGCTACTGATAACATCACCAAAATCCTACAGCTGCTTAACTTTTTTCGAGCTACCGTATTCAAAGAATATATTATGGAAGTCCTTGCTCTAGATGACTAGCTGGCAGTGTTGAGATTCTAGTACTATTCTCACAGCAACAAAGCCACCGGATATGATTACGTAATAACCCTTAAATTTGTTATCATCGACAATGTGACCGGTTGTGTACCTGTGATGATGAAGTAGGAAATCAATGAGCCAACCATGAAAGCTAGGACTGTCACACAAGTCACAACTACCATGCTGGGTCCGAAGTTTGCCACCACTAGCTCCTGAAATGAGGCTCCACCACAAGGCTTTCCACCGTCAACTGGAGGCAAACATTGCATTCACAGCCTTGCTGAGCAAACAACTTCGAATGAGTACATGTCTGCATCAGCAGTCCGGCATCTCGCAACGATACGCTTACTTGGTATGACTTAGTTTTGTACTTCTCAGCTGCCCGAATCAGCATGCATAGAACTGCAACTTCTATGGACCATATCGTAATGGTCAAGATAAGCCCACCAACCACACCAGTTTGGCTACAAAAAATAGAAACAAGCAGATGATATCCCAAACTTGCGAGTCAGAATCAAATCAACCAAACCAGCTCCGAGGACCAACCCTTACAATTTTATCGCTTCCACGAAGAATAGATATATTGAGGAGACCCATGAATTGTCTCCAGAAATCTAGTGCAAGTTTGACCTAATGGGCTTTGCGGTAAGTTTTCAACATATATAAGACTTAGCGTGTTTGCATTGCCGAAACCTAAAGTGCAGCAAATCCACAAAAATGGATTCCATGGCTGGCCGAGTGATTGCTGCAATTTATACATGGATACTACTGCAATCTATGCCCGCACCTTGCATTTTGGCCACAATCAGAACTGCTGCAATGATCATCTTCGATGGGAATTTAATTCTGACATGAGAAATATTCTCATATATTAGGTTCCATTGTAATCACACGTTTTACAAAGCACAGATGGTCCAACTCTTATGTCGGTGAGAGTAAAAGAAACTCAAGGAGAAAGAGTTTATTGTCTGATGAGCTAATGTTTTGTACTATTAGTCAAGGACGGTGTGCGTTCACTAATGAATTCGCTACACCTAATCTCGATCTTCAGTCAACAAGTTCATAACCTACTATCGCGAGAATTTACGAGGTAGTATGACTTCAAAACACTTGACCATACTCCAAGTCCAATTCTGTCTTAATGTGATTAGCTTTGAGGAGCGAAACGACGAACCGGAATGCGAAAGGGAAGGAGAGAACGCCGGAGCCGATGGCAGCATTGCACATGTTAAAAACCGTCACCCAGGGCGAGTAATTCTGGCCCCCAAGCCTTCCGGGAGCCTCCATCTCCAAATCTCTTCACAAAACTAACAAAACCACTCACCAAACAACCTCTGAATGTAACCCTGAAAGCATAGATCTGTCACGGCAAACCTACACCACCAGAACAACGTATACCGACATTTCACAGTTCCCCAACAGCTCCAAGCAGCTGAAGACCTCTCAAAACTGCAATCTTTCTCGCCTGGTAGCCTTCTAACGACTTGCACCCAGTTGCGAAAGTGTGCAACCAAGGCTTGGGCGACTACACTGGAAAGCGGGTTCAACCTGATAAACCCACAACAGAACACCTTACGTTTTGGCTGCAGCTTCAGCTCCAGCTCAGGCACCTGTCACTCCATGCCTCCATTTCCTTATTAAATTCTTTTTTTGTTTAATTTGTTTCATTATGGCGTTGGAATCTCTGAATGCTCAAAGATGTTGCAGTTGACTTGTGGATGCCTTTGAATTGTTGAGAATATGTCAGAGAAAATGTTTTGAGAGAAGTCAAGTGGACTTATGGATAAGTGGTGTATCAATGTCGTTTATTGGTTTTTCATTCAAAAGGAGCTGATTTATTTAAATTGAATCATCTCACCTTTATCACATTTCATGGAAACATATATTTATTTTATCTTGTTGCATGATTCTATGAATAATTCTTCATTGTAATTTTAAAAAGTCACTTGAAAGGGTAGTTTTAGGTAGAGTTCATGACTTTTAGACACCCTTGATATCTTCAATTAATATTCTGTAAATACCATGTTTCATCTCCTTCTATCTACTTAGCAAGTTGCATTCTTTAATAGTTTTTTACATTTGTAGATATCCAAGTAGAACAATGGCATGAAAAATGCATTAATTAAAATAAATAAATAAATAAACAACAACAACAACAACAACAACCATAGGCCAATAAGTTATGAGTAGATTGTGGTGGTTCTGATACTATTGAATTGGTGATTCTTTGGAGATTAGAAATATTCTACTAAAAAGTTTGGATATAGTAGATAAAGAGTAATTCATCTTAATTAATTGTATTGTCAAAACTATAACGTTTTATTGTACTCATATGTAATATAAGAGATCTATATTTTATTATTTTTGTGCAAATGAATTGTTGTTCAAAGTAGCCACTTTAATTTAAACTTAAAGACTTGTTATAATAAAAGCTAAGCATTAAAGTTTGTAGAGTACTTTTGTGTGTAAATTTGATTAATAAATCTACTTTTATCTCCAAATAAATAAAGCATAAATAATCTATATTAATTGATGTTGGAATTTTTTTTTTTTTTTTTTTCGTCTAAATTTGTTTAAGACTTGTTATTTAATATTAAATTTGAATTTAGATACTATGAACTTGAAGCTCTTTGACAATCAAAAAATGTGAATCCATTGCACTGTAAATATATATTGTAAGTTTATAGTATAATTTAGGATTTTTTTAATATGGATATTTTTATTTTTCTGGATTATTTGTTTATATTTTAAAAAAAAGTTTGTATTTTTTGTATGATTTTAAAAAAAAATACACATTTTAACAAATATAAGGAAAATTTCATTAATATTATAAATTCAAAATATGTTATAGAATTTATATTATATTATATATATATATATATATATATATATATAAGAGTTGTTAAAGCAACACCTTTATATTCTTAATATAACATGTTCTTATGGTTAGTTCAATTTATTCTCAAACAATCTCTGCTCCATGTGTGGTACTTATGAATGTAGATTATTGCACTATAGCTAGATCATCATATTTTAGAATAATGTAAGATTGATTAATTTGTATTCTCTCCTTTAGTTCAATAACCATGAATGTGGAGGCAGCTTTATTTGTTATATCTAATATTCTTTTCAAGAAGTGCAAAAGGGACAAGCAATAGATTGATGCCAAGTCTACAGTCCCTGCAGTTGCTAAAACTGAGAACACTAAGAACTAGACTCTCATCTTCAAGAATGCTTAGTAATACCTCAAGGAATACAAGAAATATGTAAGGATTATTCATTTCAAGGTTTTGTTTTATTTCCCAAGCTACTAAAATGAAGATCCACAATCAATTACTTAGGTATTTTTTTCTACAATCATTTTGTTTTTTTTTTTAATTAGTCACAAGTTTTGGAATTTGATGGCTATTATTGTACCAACATGCTTTTACAAGTATGTGTGATGTAATCTTTCTTCAAAGGGTATTGGTAGATGTCTTTGTTAAAAGATTGGCAATGAAAGATTTGCTTGATTATTCAGTGTAACTTACATTGTCATTGCAAGTTGGAATTGTTGTCATCATCACATATTGCAAAAGCCTCGCTGATTTTGTTGCCTTCTCTTTCTCTCTCAAGAATGAGGTCTCTCCTCTTATATCTACAACTTTTGCTATCCATTTATCCAACCAAGCCTCTCTTTTCCTCAAATACTCAAAGCTTATCATGTCCCACCTAAAGATATACATTTGTTGGAATAGAATTCTATGTTGACATATACCATGCAATCCTTTCTTGGTACATACATGCACTTGTTAATTTGCCAACTCCTCTTATCTTTGAAGAAATAGCAATAATATTTTTAAATTTAACCATTATAAATTTATTTATAGAAAGTCCTTCTTTTTCATTCTTTATGTTGTTTAAAAATAGTTTTTAACTATTGAAATCCTAAAAACTTTGTTGTATTAATTAAAGAAATCAAATTGCTTTCTAAAACCATGCATCAAGAAGACCACTTGCCAAATTGCAGTTGACCAATCACACATATATCCAATGATGCGTGAAAAATCAACAACAAATGCCACAACTTACCTTATATTGAACGAGGATATTTTCCATTGACATAAATGTCATTGCTATGAAATATATTGTGAATTGAACACATAAACTTTAAGAAAAGTCTTAATAAGGAGTTGAATATATGAACCAAATAAGAAGTTGTGGATACAAGATGAACAACATTATTTTTCTAAGAAAGCAAGAAAGAGAGAGAGAGAGAGAAGCAACATGAAGAAGGCTTTTGCAACATGTAATGATGATAACAATTCCAAATTGCAATGATGATGCAAGTTGCAGCCATTCCTACAAGGTCAAATTTTCAGCATTTCAAGGTATGATAATTTAGTTACATTCAGGAGTACAATGCATGGGATGGAGTGAGGTTGTTTGAGAATAGACTGAATTAATCATGAGAATCCAATGTTTTGAAAAAAAAAATCTTACAAATAATCTCTTTATGTTAATTTCTTTGTAAGTTTGTTTTCAAATTTTTATTTTTTAAGCTACATTGTTTTGTATTTTTTGCTACTTGGATTTAAAGATAAGTTGTTATTTGATTAATATTATTTGATAATAAGGAATTTTATTGAAGGTAATTAAATTTGCAATAGAAATCAAAGAAATAAAATTAGATGCTCCAAATCCTATTGATTCTTCTACAAGTCTAATAATAGATTAAAGAAACATGGAATAGGAGATGAGTATATATATATATATGAAAGATTGGACTAAAGATCATAAAACATTGAATTTAAAATTATATCTTCTAACAATAAGGGGATAAATAGAAAGACATATTTTAAATAATTATTTGTAATAAATTATATTAAAGATGTATTGAAATAATTAATTTTTAATTTCTACAGTTTTTTATTTTTTTAATAATAATCTAGTATAATTTATATAATTAAATTTCTTTTTATGTATTTATTTAGAATATTTTATTTATAAATTGGTTATGAAAACATGTTGAGAACACATACAATTAAAACATATTGAATCACCAAAAAAATATCAATAAAAATTTATATAATAATTTATAAAATATAATTATATCTAAATTAAGGGTATTGTTAATGCAACCAAAAAAATCCTATTGCCACCACCATCCACTTGACATTTTTTTTTAGTTTTTTTTTTTAACCAAATTTTATTTTCAATAAAATCATTCAAAAGGTATGGAATAAAGATAATTAGATTGATTTGAAAAGTTTAAACAAAGATAGCATTTGGGTAGTGGTAGTAGTAAAAACTATACATACATACATACATACATATATACATACATATATATATATATATGTTAAATAGACCCAATTTTTTACTAAATCAACCCACCCATCTTAACCATCATGAAAAATAAATCATGACATTTAGATTTATTTCTCCATTATTGGATCTGAAACCAATAAAAAGCAACCACATTCATCATGATTACCATATTCTTCATCATCACGGGGATCTAGTATAAGCATGGGTTTATTTAACATTCCCCTATATATATACATCACTTATATTCTTATACTTTACAAAAGAATCTGAGTGAAAGAATTTCACCGTGAAGTAGGTTGCTTGTGAACATCCAACAGAGAAAACAGGCAACCGGAAGCAAGATGGCCCACAGACAGTGGTTCGGATCTCAGTGCTAAGAAACGAATGTTCACGGAGATCGAAGCGACAGGTCGGACAAAGAGAGAGAGAGAGTCAGGGTGTCTGAGGTCGCAATGCAGACGACGACGACGACGGCCATGCAAGCAGCAAAGATCACTGACTCCAGGTTTGGAATGTGTGCCTTTTACCAATCCCCTGCGGAATCTGGTATCTTTGCAACCTAACTTCATCCATCGTTACCTACCCCGGACGTGGAGACCACGGCTCCTGTGCTGCAACGTGGTAAGAGTAGACATGTGGGCAAAACCATGTGGTGGTGGTGGTGGGTTCTGATTTTGTGGATTCGCCTGCAGCTCGTTCGAACATCCTTCAGGTGGTTGTTGGGAGCTGCGTGTCTACCCATCCCACAGTAAACCTCGGATAGAAGAAGTATCCTCCTTCTGGTAGAGGCTGCACTGCTTGCTTACTTGCTTGCCCCTAGAGCTGTCTATCGAGCGCTTGAGTTTGTGTTAATCACCTTTTGCTTTGCAGATTCTCTCCCGCTTCTGTTATCTTTCGTTGAATTGTGTGTTTCTGCCATGGCTTATGAGATGAGCAGTCGGGACTCCGGTATCGAGAAGGCCTCGGAGAAGAGGATCGACGTCGGTGACCGGGCGGCCAATGAGGTGAGTCACCAGTAGCGGGTCCATTTAAGTGGTACATCGTTGCAGATTCCGGCACGTTAGCATCATGCACAGTGTTGAAACGCAGATTTTTTTTTTTTCCTTTGTCCCATTAGTGCGAAATTGAGGGGGCTGGTATCAGCTGAGAGTGGATTCTGCGGTGATGTTATGGAATAGAGGATGGTAATTGGAGTGAATTTGGTGTTTTAGGGTACTGCTAGAGCCTCTGAAAGTGAAGCTAACAATGCTGGCAAAGTCGCTGGTGGAATGCGGGATCAGTTGAGACAAACGTCCTCCGGTGCCTCAAAAGTTGCAAATAACAAGACAAGTTCTTCCGGTTGGTTTCAACAAATTGGTGACGCTGTTTTCAATGCTTACGATTCATTTCTGGATATGCTGGAGAACGCCACTCCCAAAAAGTAGGTTCTCTCTTTGCAAGGTAGGACTGTGCAGACCGTATCCCAGCGTGCGAAGAGCTTCAGCGTTGGGTTGAAGATTCTTCAGTGCGTTGTTACTGTTACTGCAAGTTCTCGAACGTTCACACAAACGTTCTGAAAATCATTTCCGTTTTGCTTCTTGCCTCCTTCGGTACCCTCTCCCGCAATGCCTAAACATTCCCCGCCTTCAATCCCCATGTATACACTCGTCCGTTTTTTAGCTTTTCTTGTGGTCTTCCAAGTTTTCTGCTGTCGTTGTTCTCATGGTTATTTGCGTTTACGGTAATACTGCTCTAGTGTAACTATTGATCAAAACCTCAGACTCTTCGTGTACTTGACAGTGAAAACAACGCAAGGGTGCTGAGGCTAGTCTACTTGATCTTATCCTTTATCACTGGAGAAGTCCTCAATACTTGCGGTGATCAATAGCTAAGTTATGTTCTCAGCAAATGTTAGAGAAGGCAATTGTAGGGCGGTTGCCTGACTATATGTCCAGTGGCCACACCCCGATGAGTGTAGACATTGTAATGCATAACAATATACATTAAGAAAGATTCAAGCCACGTACTCCAAGGACTTGCAGTGCAACAAGGAAAAGGAAGGTTAATTTTTAGAGATCAGTATATAGTGCCTGAATGGTGCTCAAAGATAGAGAAACTTAATGGGAAAAAAACTCGTGGATAAAAACGTCATGAATTGGTCAGCTTCAATTGATGGTTGAATCAGCATTAATGAAAATGATCACTTTTTGTTGCACAGTCAGAATGATCAATGGTAACGACGACGCAAAATTTGACCCTAAGATGAGCAGTGTCGCATTAATCATAGACTATTTGATGCTCCAGGAATACTACCTAATGTGAGTGACTTACCAGACCTAGATCAATCTCATCTTCCCAGACAAAGAGTCCAGGTTTCAAACCCAAGTACTTGGCATAGCACGAAAGGTCTGGTTTGAATCGACGTAAGGAAGGCTGGAAATACAGAAACCTAACTAATCGAGTTTCAGGGGGTCACTGCGAAAAACATGGTCCTTAAATTCCATGTTCCCGAGTCTCGCAAACATCAATATCCTTCATGACTAGTTCACCATTCACAGAAATTCGCCGCATCTTCAACCACGCAGATGTGAGGAAACACGACCCAATTGCGCCAAGAATGAAAAGAATGATTAAATCACCAACACCAACTAACTGGACAAAGAGGTCCTCACCTTACGAGGATATTAGCTGTTTCACCTCAGCTTCAGAAAAAGTAATCCCATAACACGACACAACCAAACGCGACGCCTTCTCGCTCAAAATCGTTATGTACTTCTGCCGTGAAAAGCCGCGAGCGCGAGGCGAAAACACTAACTTTGACCTCATCGCGTTTGGAAGACTTCGCCGCACTCTTTTGACGCTGACGCGCGGGCGCGTCTGTCAGTAAGAGTACTTCTCTTGCTCCGAACCTACCTTCCATACGAGTCTACGTACCCAAGACCTCTCTTTTGCTTCGTGCACATGTAAATTTCCAAAGCTTGGAGGATTTATTTTGCTCCAATAATATCATGGGTCAAATTTTATTGGAATATATAATTTTTCTAATACATATATATATATATATATATATATAATGGCTTTTAATAGTATTGTCATTTAGCTTTAATATAACTATATATTATTGTTTAGGTTCATCTATGGGCACCAAGTTAATGTTTAGATAAAGATTCAAATCTAATATACATTTCACTATATTTTTACATTTTCTTTTGAAAAATAAACAGATGTTCCAACATCTTTACAATTGTTCCTTCAGATATCCTCTGTTGTTCTTTTTATGATGTCTACATTGGAATGGGTCATATGTACACACAGTTGTACATTTGCATATAAAATTTGTGTGTGAATGTACAACTCCAACAAACAACTTTGCTCAAAATATAAATTCATATCCAGCCACCATTCTGGTACAGTCTCATTTTTTTTTAATTTTAATTTTTTTATTGTATTTGTTAATGGGCATGAGAACAACCCAACCATCTACAAAGAGTACAAAGTTTAGACAACTTGTCACAAAAGTGGTCATTCCCACATGGGGATTCATTGAAAAGAGCAACAGAGGATGTCTGAAGAAACAATTGTAAAGTCAAAGGATAACAGCAAAAACAACAATATTTTCACAAAAAGAAAGTTTTCATTTGTTTTTCTCAGAAAGATCTGAGCAAATGAATAGCTTGTTCATAGATCCAAAGACCACCCCATGACAAGAGAAATAATATTGGCATGACTTCAGCCAGATGCTTAAAGCCACCATTAAAAAGATTGAACCCTGCTAAAGGGGAGGGGAAAGATGGAACCAAAGCACAGGCACTCTCATTGTACAATCCTAGTTCTAGAAGCTTCTGACATTTTCAATGCAATTTTTTCTCCAAACCCTTGGCAGCCATCCCTTGCAAAATAATCAAGATGCTACATTGACATACCTACACATGAGTAAGTTGGATAATTATTCTGAACTTTTTAACATCACAAGTGTTTCTTTCCATAGAGTACTTTTCTACATGACTGTGTGCATATGTGTTTCAATATATAAATATACAAGTGGAAACCCATGCCATTGGCCACAAAAAAACATTTATTGAAAATTACAATTGGGAGTCTAATGATCTTGTAGTGTTCCTCTCATTGATCAAAAGTCGATTTATTGCTTCACTTTTGATGAAAGTAATGAGATTTGCAACCAATCAAAGATGGTTTTTATCTTTATTGGTTTATCTCTTGAGTTGTTTTATATACAAATTTAGAGTACAATTGAAACTGCATGTAAGATCTTGACAAAACATAAAGTCAAAAAGATAGCAAACTGAGTTTCTAAGGGAACGTCATCAAACAATAGACAACCCAGTAAGTATTCAAAGGTGATACCCAGCAATTGATGTGCAACTATTCTATTGAAAAAACACGCAGAACTCCAAGCTTTAGCGTCTAGTGTCATGACAGTGAACATTGACAAGTGGATTTAGGGTGTCATGACAGTGAACATTGACAAGTGGATTTAGGGTTTATCCAGGAGACAAAGTAATATCGCGTTTGCACGGTCTTCTGGATGATGAGACTCGATCGCAACTCTCCAAAGCAGGAGAAGTTTCTCAAGCAACTCTGCAGAGCCGAGCCACAGGACCTGCCACGTCAAATCCCACTTGCGCTGACGTGGACCAGCCGCATCGGAGCTATTGGGGATACGACAACTGGACCAGCAGGACTGTTAGCCCCTATTATCCCACTGGATGTCCATCCATGACCATGGGAGTTACCCAACTGTTTTACTAAAATTACCTCGTGGTGAAAATTATTTACCACCTAATGGGTTAAAATAGGTCGATAGCGATATGAGTGGAGATCCTGGGTCAACATGGCTGCACTGTCAGTCAATGCCTCGTGATCGACATTCGTTCGTTTGGATGGATGTGGAGTTCTTAATTTCAACACTTTGCGTGCGCAATCAGGTTCCTGATAGTAACTTAATTGTTTAGTTAAAATTAGATAAGCATATTTTCAGTTTTGATTCCGTATCTCTCTCTGTCCTTATGTATACATGTGGATGTATTTATTTTATTCCGGAGGAGTGGAGTCTCAGTTTAAGAGGGTACAATATCCGTTTTAAGAGTAAAAGACTAAGAGTTTTCTACACCATTATTTAAGCGTTTAATTATTTTATCCCTTCCCTTCAGTGTAGAACTTAGGATTTGTTCATAATATCAATTGGAAGAAACGTAATGTAGTGTGAATTTTGAATAGATTATGTACAAAATGTGCAGGCTTTGTTTATGTTTGGTTTCCAATACTGAGATATATAATATTTTAAGATGGGAATTCAGAATATCATGTGATGCTCATGCACGCATCTTACAATTTTAGTTTTGCTTTTGTGACCCAACATTTTGGATGATAGGTTGTATTTAAAAAGATGTTGGAAATAGAGAATGTATAAGGAAGGGGTATCGATAAATAAGTTACTGTATTACAAGTATATTCAGTCAGAGGGAAATTACGTATATATGTATGTATGTATGCGTACATACATGGCTTTATTGCTTTTGGATTTTTGTTTCTTTTTACTTTTTATGTTGACATATATGATATTAGCTTTGGATCAATATTTTAAAGTTGTAGTAGGCGGAATATTATAACTAGTATAGATGTTCTGTACTTTTGAATTGAATATTAACAGGGAAAATCTGGTTTTTGAAAATTGAGCTTGTATTTAGATTGAGAGGTACAACAGTTGATGTTTTTAAGGATTTTCAGTTTTAATTTTTAAAAAAATTACAAAAATAGTAAAAAATATCAGGTTTATACAATGATTTGTTTCAAAATAATGTAAAAAAATCATATTATGTGAAAATATACATACAAAATTGGTAAGAAAAAATATTTATGCATGGAGAGCTTCCACAGTGGTTAATATAAAAGGGTATAGACCAAAGCTTTTACTAAATTGACCCTCCCATCATGCAAAAATAATGACCATTGAACTCATTTCTCCACTATTAGATCCAAAACCAATGAAAACCAACCACATTCATCATGATTACAATGTTCTTCAACACATTGATTTAGTATAAACATGGGTCTATTCAACATTCCCATGTATATATAACAGAACATTGTTTGTATGTGATGATGGCAAAGCTAATCCTTGTATATGATAGTTAATAACTTAATGGGTCATTCTAAATAGTGAAACAGTTCTTACTAAAAACATAGCAAAAATAAAAGCAAGTGTAATCAAACAACCATCTCTATCACAAAATCAGAACACAAATAACATATTTGCTCCCTTACACAGTATACTGAACAAAAGATCAGTTTGAAAGATTCAAAATTACCAGCCCAATGTAATGATTTGAGTTGATTTTAAATAAAATGAAGAAAACATAATTTTCTTTGATCAGTTGGGTACCCTGGGTGCAGTTGGGTGTACCTGGAGTACACAAGCCATACTAGTATATGCATAATAGCTCTTTCTATCTCATGTTACAAATGCAATAATAATAAAAAAACCAATATTTTGTTTTTTTTTGTTTCACTGAACTATATGTAATTTTTAAAATAAGTAACTATTGAACATGATGCAAGTACCAGAGATTAAAATTGTTGTTTAATATTTTGTTTGAAAACTTTTTTAGGAGCAGCTTACATGGCCTAAAACTTCGGAAACAAAACAACGACAATAGAAACAAAGAAATAAATGACAAATAAACAGACATGTAAAATCAAATCGCAAATGAGAAATGCTTTCATGCTCCTGAACTCCACAGACAACTTCGGAAACACGCAAGGATAAGAAACCATGAGGGTAATTAGGGTTGGGTGAGCAGTTTTTTAACGTGGCAGGCATGGAGCGAAACCACAATGAGTTGCAGCAAATCGCGGCGAGTGCGACACGCAGACGACGAAGGGAGGCAAGCAAGTAAGCAAGCAAGCAATCAAGTATGCAAGTTCGGCGTTACGACGAGGATGAGGACGAATTATTCGATTGTTAATTTTGTAATTTTCTGTTACGAGCGGCGTTCTGTGTGGCGTTCCGCCACCACAACTGGGCACGGCCACCGGGTTCGGTAGGAAGGGAAGGTGGAGCCTCTCTCTCCCTCCGATCACCACATCCATCCATCCATCCACGAATCCGTCCATTCATAAACCCATCCATCCATCCATCCACGAATCCGTCCATTCATAAATCCATCCATCCATCCATCCATGAATCCGTCCATCCATAAATCCATCCATCCATCTCCTTGCCCGCTCCGGTCAAGGTGGTGGGGCTCACTATACCTGACCCTGTCTCCGCACCCGTGCCGCTGCTGCACGGGTGGCATGCCGGCCCCGGTATACTCACACACTCATTCACTCCTCACTCACTTTGGAGTCAGTCCCCTGCCCCCACTTACTCCCTCCTCTGCCCTGCCAAGCCCCGGGATTCGTGACCAGGGCAGCAGCAGCAATCAGGAAAGAAATGAATGCGAATGGGAACAGGAGGATGCAACGGGAATGGGATTGGGAACGGGCATTTGTCTCACCACCCCCACCACCACCGCGGAGGAGGAGCAAGCAGCATGGAAGGTAGGAAGGGAGCCGGGCTTACCTACCCTGCCCAACCCCCTCCCCCTCCCACCCTGGTCTGGCCTGGCCTGGCCCGGCCCAACCCGCCCCGCCAAAAGGCGACGTGGAGCTGGTCCCGATGCGCAGTCCGTTGGTGCATCATTGCTGCCACCCCTTTGTTCTACTTACTGCGTGCCCATCGCACCCTTCCTTCCATCGCCAACAACGCCGCGAATCCGCACCAGTGGCGGGGGGTTCGAAAAAAGTGGAGAGTGTTGAATGACACGCTGTTCCTAGAGAGAGAGAGTCTAGTAATCATCGTACACGGAGATGTGTGTGTGTGCGTGTTTGTGTGTGTCTCTCCCTCTGTGAGTGAGTGCGGCGTCCAAGCGTTTGATGCGTAGATGTGGCAGGTAGGCTTTCTGTCGATTCATAGAACGGGGGCGAGTCATTTAAGGGAGGGGAAGGGGAGGGAGGGGAAGGGGATGGATTCGAACTAGGGCTGTTGTTGTTTTTGCTACCCCCTGCGCTTTGTTGTTGGTAGTGGCGGTGTTGGTTTTTTGGGGTTGTGATGCATGAGTAGTTGTTTCTAAGTTTCGACCCCATCTTCTTCTTCAGTTGTAGCCACTTGAATTTGTAGCAGCGGCAGGCTCTTTCATGCGGTGGAGGTATTGGTATTTCAGAATCAGAGGACGGGAAAGACACACGCGGTTTGAGCGGGGGAGGGGACTTCTGAGGTTGGGTGGTCCTCCACGCTAAGTTGGGCAGGTGTCCGTGCACTACAGTGGTGCTTGGGGTGGTAGAGAGCAATTTTGGCATGGGGTGGCGGGACCCTGGTGGAGAGGAAGAGGAAGTACAACAGCAGATCATCAGGGTTGGATCCACTTTATTTGCGGGGAGCAAGGTTGTGGTGAGGGTTTTGTGTGGGAAGTGAAAGGCGCGGGAGGGAAAGGGCTTGCTGAACAGCTGGCGCCGGGGCAGGTGACGCTGGTGCAGAAGCAAATGTGTTAATGGCGCACTAAATACAGGATTTGAGGAAGTTTTGGTGTCGTGTAGCATCTCAAGACGGAACAGGGCAGGGGAGACACGAGCCATGGTTCGGATTTCGAGTTAAGCGGCGTAGGGATGCTGACTATGGTTGGAATCGGCCGGGTTTGCATACCTGCTTACACCTCGGAAGCGCGTGTACTGCGCAGCTGCGAGTTTATTTAGTTTGTCTGCAGCGAGTGTGTGAGATGTAGTCGCGGACGATCTTCTGGCTGCGAGGGTTTGGCTACCGGGTGTGCGGTAGGAGTGATTTCGCTGAACTTTCTCCTCAGTTTAGGACGAGGCTACTTGGGTGAGGATCCGGCGGCGATTAATTTGTTGTGTATGTGAAATTCCACACAAGGAAGGTGGCGCTGATAATCTAGAGTGTAAACCTCGTTACTTGGGGGAACATGGCCGGAAGATGGAGAAATAACAGTGTGTATGCTAGCTTTTGCGATTTTCTTTAGGGTGCTACCTGCGCAGGTAGCATACGCAAATTTTCTAGACGTGTACTTGAACAGATTTAGAGCACGAAAGAACAGAAAATGGTCCTTGCTATTCCGTAGTCACTTTTGAGAATTTGTTTCTGCTGGGACCTAAGGACTTGGTCGCTTCAGGTTTCAGGGTATTAGATACTTGCTTCTGCTGAAGTCTTCAATGGAGCGGCATGTGGGGCAGATAAGCGTGGAGGGTCTCCCCTTCATACAACATCAATTCTTTCCTGGAGGTTGACCTCTTTCAGTATTTTCGAGATTTTAATCATGTGCATTTCTTACGAGCATTACACCCAACACATTACATCTTACTTTACCATAGGCGTGTTAGATTTGACGATTTCACGGGTGAAAGTCTGTTAAATTTCTAACGCTGACTCGCTGATCTTTTTCTCTAAACGCCACTTATATACCTTCTCCTTTTCTTCCATGACTCCAAGGAAGGTTGGTGTGATGTTATATGATGCCTCGAGCTGTCTTTTTAGGATTTACAATGTCATCTTTGGGATGGTCTTTTCTTACAGAGTACTCGTTATCTTATGTTGCAGGAGGAGGGATTCCACAGTTGCATCCAAATGGTAGAGGTGTGTCTGCTGTTGACCGTAGTTCAGAGTTACCGTGGTCTACGGGGCAAACTGGGTCAAACTGGAATTATTGCGGCTTATCAGATAATGCTGAGAGAGCAATACACAGGGATGACTGGAATGCAAACTCGTGGCGTTTAGATGGCTACACACTCAATGCTCAGCGAGTTAGTAGAGCTCCAGATGGGACAGGTTCTGAATCATCCAAAAATCTTACAAGTGGTGAGAATGAGCACCGAAGCAGAGGTGCTGATTTGGGCCTACAGTTGGATATAAGAGCTGCCGGCACTCCTGAGGCCAATCATCCAGTAATCCATATTGATGATGACGAGAGTGAGGTACAGGGTCAATCGCTTTTCGGACGACATACCCCGTCTCCCCCGTCAAATGAACCGAATCCTTACAATAGGGGAAATGATTCTCCAGAAGACGACGGTCCTCTCAGTCTGAAGTTGGGGGGGAGTTCTTATGCATACGTGGAGAATGGGGCTGGGAAGCGTCCCCGTTCTTCTTCACCCCCTTCTCAAATTCCTACCTGTCAGGTGGATGGTTGTACTGCAGATCTTAGCAAAGCTAAAGATTATCACAGGCGCCACAAGGTTTGCGAGACGCACTCGAAAGCATCAACAGCACAGGTTTCTCGGGTGACGCAGCGCTTCTGCCAGCAGTGTAGCAGATTTCATGCGCTGGACCAGTTTGATGAAGGCAAACGAAGCTGTAGGAGGCGTTTGGCAGGTCACAACAAGCGACGGAGGAAAACACAACCTGATGCACCGGCACCAAGAGTTGAGGATCAAGCGGGTGTTAATAATACCGACATCATGACTCTTTTAGGTCTTCTTTCGCAATTGAAAGGTCTTGCAACAAACCTTTCTGCCGTCCAATTACTACTGGCTGTGTCATTGAGGACGTTTTCACAGAGAATGTTTCTATCTTCGTTGAACATGAAATATCTTGCAGATGAAACTTGTCGTATGTTCTTGAGTGTCGCACTGAAACGTTGCTCCAACAGGGCCTCTAGATCAAGCAAGTGCCGCAACAAGCGAACGTGATATTCTTTTGCAGTGCCTGAGACAAGCGGGGAACTTGAACCTACCCAACTCTTCACTCGAGGGACTATCAAGAGCTCCACCTTCGTGGAGTCAATTAACTCGCAACTCTGATCCCGCTCAACCTCCAATTGATCCTAGACTTCTCGCAGCCCAGCTTGCTGCACATGCTCCTCCAGCGACACTGCCTCAACAGGATGCTATTACAATGCTGTTGCAGAATAATCTGAAGCAAGCTGCGCGGATTGCGCAGGAGAACATGTATAATCGTGTGGGATTTAATGGGAACATGAATGGTGTTCCCTCCCCATATGCAGCATTAAATGCGGACGCATCGGCCAGTTATGGAGTTCCACAAGTCAACAATGAGCGCACCTCTTCAGCAGCTGGGTTCTCACTACCTCTCTCTGTGAGAGTTCCTGGTAGTGTGCCTGGGAATGTAGTCCCTGCGCAATTGTTGGCAAGTGTTGCCCTCTCGTTGCAGCAAAGTTTGGCAGCCCAAACAGCTAGTCAGGATAACCACCTGGCAGCTAATGGGTATGGCACATCATTACCAACAGCACATAGAGGAAATCCTGATCAATCTCCAGTCGATACGAGGAACTTCCCACATCAAAGATTTGCCAGGCATGAGGATAATGATGCAACTGTTCATTCCCAAGTAGGCATGCAGCGACAGGCATCGCAGAGTGGCGCCTCACACTTTCACAAGCGGCCATTCTTGGAATCGCAAAAGTCGCAGCCTCCCTTGCAGAGGCCGTCAATAGACTTACAACAGCCTCTTCCATCAGAGCAGTGCAGTGACACCTCAGAAACGGGTTCGGGTTCTGGCTCAGGGTCAGGGTCAGGGTCAGGTTCAGGTTCCGGGCACCAGTCGCCAGGCACTCCGAACAGGGAGTCCGAGGTAGGTTTTCTCATATACATGCCATCATTTGCTGGGGACACTGTAGACAATGGTTGACGCGTATTTGTCTTTGCTTCTGCAACATCTTTAACTGACGCTTGATTGTTGTTAAGTAGAAGGGAGATTGATGCTAACCTTCGCTGCTTTGGTTGATCAGCACAATCGCATTTCTTTTAAGCTCTTCAATAAACATCCTACTCAATTCCCCGACGGACTTCGAAGTAAGGTACTGGTTGGTTTATTCTCGCATGATAACTACCACTCTCTTGATTTGTTGGTAATCATTACGTAATTATTATGTTGATGCATCTTTCCAGACACTGGGAATAGTTGGTTAGAGGTCTTCCAGTGTCGGTGGGAACTTGGAAATACCCTCGTTCAAATATTCTACAGCAGCTTAATGTTGATAAACATTTATAGAGTTTCTTTTGATGTGTCTGTGAAAAGCTTTCTTGATGGTTACTTTACAATGTGTACTTGTTTCAGATAAATGAATGGTTATCACACCGACCCACAGATATGGAGGGCTTCATCAGGCCTGGTTGCATCATTCTAACAATTTTTTTATCCATGCCCAAGTTTGCATGGGCCGAGGTAGACGTTTACATTGTCTGGGTTCACCTTCATGTGGAGTGTTAGTGCTGAAGGACAGAAGTTGGCTGAAGTAGTTCAGATTCATTTTCCTTCCTATCCCACTCAAGTTTTTTGCGAAACAGTTTCTTGTGGTTTGAAGGTGTAGATACCAGGTATGCACTATTGTGGCATGTGTAACAGTGTTACTAAATCATTGACGTGTTTTTGGTTGCAGTTGATCAGTGACCTGCCTGGAAGTTTACAGCGACTTCTTAGCACTGGTTGTGAGTTTTGGTGCACTGGGCGCATGCTAGTGCAAGTTGAACAGCAAACAGTTTTAGTTGAAGACGGTGAGTGTTTGTCAGCTATTACATCATATCATTTTATAGCGGATAGGTTGTTTCTAGTCTTTCAAACTGAGACCAATTCCACATAAGGAGGTTGTTATCACGAAGGACAGAGTTCTTTGCCCTTGAAAATATTTTTAGAATCATGTCAAGTCATTGCTGGTTTAAATCTAACATAAAGCGCTCAACCTCGAAGAAGTTTTGCGAGGTTTCACCCTATTGTGGGTATCATGAACATTCACGGCTTGTGAAGGTGATGCGATGTCGTTTAGGTCGTGTTTAAAGAAAATTCTTGTTTATTTTTTTGGTTTTATTTATTGATTAGTCTATTTAATTTAAAGAAAATTCTGGTTTATTTTTTTGGTTTTATTTATTTATTATTTCCTCGTTGACTTCTACAATCTACACGTGCGTCGATTGATTTTAAGAAGTTATACCTCTCGAGACTAAGATGTGCTTCATATGATATAAAATAGGATTTCTATTACCTTGAGTGGGGTTTGGTGAGGTGGTGCTTCAGTTTTAATGTTCCGTCACGTATAAGGGAGCATATTGCTGCCACCTGTAGGATTAGTCTTGGTTTGACAAGTTGTTACTTAATGGGTAGATTCTTGAACATGTCATTACTTTGATATGTTTTTTAGTTTGATATATTTTGTTACTCCTTTCAATCTGATAATATTTGTGTTTTCTCGTTGTATCTGTAGGTGAAATCGTAGCGTGCAAGACATCCGATCCCTTTGAAAGTCCTTACTTGTTGTCAGTACGGCCTCTTGCTGTCGTCCCTGGTCAACAGAATCGTTTGATTGTGAAGGGGTTTAATCTTACAACAGCTGCGACTAGGTGCGGAAGTTTTCACATACTTGGTTCACGTACTTGTTGCCCCTATTTAACGCTTTATTTATGTTTTTCTTTGTGGCTGTAGTAACCCCTGTGATGTATTTGTTGTTTTCCAGGTTATTGTGCGCTTTCAGAGGACAGTATTTCTCTGCGGAAGTTCATCATCAGCATCATTCAGATGTTGAGTCGGTGGCTTCTGTTGATGAAACTGAAGACACAGATGATACATTGGACCGATTGGTAGAAAATGACACCGTTAGTGGATATGAAAAGAATGCGTCGCTGGATTTGGTAGATGGTGAATCCTCTATAGATGATGTATCTTACAGGCCATCATCTTCTAGTGCCGTTCCTGAAGCATCTGAAGTTGCTAGAGTTTCAGTAAATGACACAGACGCATCCGAACAGGAGGATTCAGCCGAAGGCGGAGAGGTTGCTGATAACGACATAAATTTTGATTATTACTCACGTAGTAGTGTTAGTACAAGTTTGTTTAGCTCGCAGGCTATTTGTGATCTTGATACCAGCGTATTACCATCCGCAATGCCAGCTGGAGGTTTCGGTCGGTGTTTTATTGAGGTATGAAACATCATGAATAGTTGTGGCCACGGCTGTTTTTGAGTGCTGTGTATAGATGTTCATATTCAGCTTGTGATGATGGGACCTAACATATGTTTTATTAATTTATTCAATATTTGATCGTGTGTAGGTGGATCAAGACTCTTTGGTAGGGAACTGGAAACCAGTAATTGTTGCAGATAAACCAGTGGCTGCAGAGATTTGTACACTTGAAGACGAGATTGAAATGGCTGCCGGATTTGCCGAAATACGTGCTAAGCAATACGGGCTTGATCCATCTCTTGTTTTATATTGTACGGCATTGGCCAGGCTTGCAGAGGAAGAAGATGTCACCCAGTTTTTGAACGAGCTGGGGTGGTTCTTTCAAAGAAGTTATTATGGGAATCTCAACTTTTCTTTACCAACAACTCAGGTACTGATTCTGCTGCCTCCCTTTTATTCCTTTCAGATCATGTTGTGGTCATGGGAATCCTTTTATGTTCTGTATTATTTTATACGTTACACATTCTGGTTTTTATGGGATGATGCTCCTCAGCATTGTGCATCACTTCGTAACCATTCGTGAAAGCTGTTTCATAAACCACTCTCCATGTTGAGTTCTGCATTTGCTAACACGTCCCTGTTACTCGATTTGGCAGGCGTCTTTCACTAAGCTCGAGCAGCTTTTGGTCTTTTCTGTGGAACGTAACTGGTGTGCAGTAGTACGCAAGCTGTTAGACATTGCTTTTGAAACTGGTGACTGGGAAGCAACGTTTATGGTTCTTTCTGAAATGTCACAAGAAGGGAGTAGCTTACTTCACCGGGCTGTTCGGAATAAAAAACGTCCAATGGTAGAGCTATTGCTTGGATTTGCCCCTTCATTCCTCGCTGGAATAAATGATTCAGACGTGGAAAGCTTCAAACGGAAGCTTGAGTTTCGGTTGAAATGGAGCTCGATATATAAGCCTGATATGCGAGGACCTGGGGGTCTCACTCCCCTTCACATTGCAGCTAGTATACATGGCGCAGAAGACATTGTCGATGCTTTGACCACCGGTCCTTCTCAGGTCAGTAACCATTATTTTAGTGAAAGGAATATGGCTAACATCTGATTTGTGTTGAGTTGTGGAAACACTTTTTCTTCCTTTTTCTGTTCTATAATCAATGGCATTCGTCTTTATATACGAATTTCGGGTATCCTATGCCTACCAAGTCTTAAATGATTTCAGCATCTTCAGCACCTCAGTTAGCTTTTTATATCTGATCATTCATACTTGTCTTGTAGGATGCTCTGCATGCTTGGTTACACAAAAAGGATGATTCTGGAGCAACTCCTCTCGACCTTGCGAAAGCAGGAGGTAACATGAAGTCTGTACAAGTTGTAAGAGCAAAGCTTGCAAAAATAGAGAATCCGGACAGCATTGCCATAGATATTGCGGCTGGTTGGGATCATCGCAGAGCTGAATCAATTGTTCAAGCGATGGAGTTGTCTCAGAGACGAGCCAGTGAAGGCATTGGAGCTACCAGGTCCGATGAGACACCTGTTTGTAGAGAGGTGGACTTTGCTAGACTACCTCGGGATGTATGTGGCGTTAAGGGTGCCATGTACAGGCCGTTCTTGGTTAGCATCATGGGGATCGCATGTATATGTGTATGTGTTTGCCTGCTTTTGAGGGGACCTCAGAATGTGCTACCTCTCTTCACTTGGTCGGGGTTGGAGCAAGGGAAAGAATAAACCGTACAGGGGTCTTAGTGTAGCCTTCACTCAGGCGATGCATTTCGAAAAGGAGTGATGATTCGCTGCAAGTCGCCTCGTCTTTTTCCAAGCCGCATACTTCTGAATGATTCGATAGCCTCCTTCCTCGGCAGACAGTTTTGCAGTTCGTGAGATAGTCATTCCATTTTGGCATCTTTGAAGACTGTGAACTGGATGGCTCTGTAAGACTAACAATGAATTGCTTCCGTCTACTCTGCGAGCTCTGGTGGACGAACCTGTGACATGGTCCTTTTGAAGCACACTGTGGGTACGACTTGAGCTGTCGGGAACCATCACCTCACGAGCAGTAAGCCATGTTTCTGATCAACATGCTGCCGAAGTTCCAGTGGGCGCTCTGTTACAAGCGGCATTCCTTGACGATTTTATGCTGAAATAGTGTGTTGGCAGAGTTCTTTACTTGCATTGTGATGTAAACTCATGCACAAGATGGTATTCTGTAGTCAGCGCCGTTTATTGACCCCTCTACTGTAATAGTTAAGATTTTAGACATGCCCTCGAACCAGAGGGAGGAACTTCATGAAGGGTGCTGATTATTTTGTAAAGATAGCAACATTATTCATAGTACAATTTCTTGCAAGCGAATCCGAATGAAAACAAACATGTTTTTCATTAACATGTGAATTTCATCAAAAAAATTCGGTACGCAAGCATAATCTGGGGGAAATGGGATTTCCGGACTTTCTTCACAATCTTATTTGGATTGACGTATGTTGTCTACATTACAAGTCTAAACATGAAACGAAGGAAATCTGAAGGCTGTAGGTCTGAACAGAGGATGAAAGCATTGTCCGGCAATTCTTCTGATAAAAGTGATTAAAGATGCATTTAGAGACTAAAAGCTGTGATAGGAAAGAAAACAATTGTTTGATCTAGTATTGTAAATTCCTGTGTTTACAGTACTTGTTTGTGTAGAATCGTATTCGTCAATGTTTAAATCCTTGAGAAATGTCATCATCAAGAAACGAACCGGTTGGAAAATAATGATCTTTTTAACAACCTTGAAATTCATATGGTGGTAAATTCTTTCATCGTAAGGATTGCAACTGTGTTATTTTCATTCTGAAGTAATTAGCAAAATAATTCTTTTTAGGCAAAAAGGGATAACACCACATTTAGGTTTCACATTTTTGGAACTTGTTAACCTTCCAACATGGTGTGGTTGGTTCATATGCAATTTGCTTTACATGTTACAAATGTAATATGATGTATTTTCATGAATCAAGAAATTTCTAAGAAAATTAAGACTATTCAAGAAAGATTTCTCTTAAAATTTAGTTTTTTAAATGGCAATAATGAAGTGTTGTTTCTTTTTTTATTCAAAATAATATCTACTTAATGCTTAAAAATAAATCTTAAAAATATAATATTAATAGATATAAAAAGTAGCAACACCTAATTGCTTTTGATGTAATAACATGCAAATCTTATTAACAATGGTTTTAGTAATTCTATCATTCTATTCAAATTCAAAATCAACTCTATTGTTTGGGCTTTTACAACTTCAAAGGTGCTAATGGTAAGCTTGCTACTACTAAAGATATGTTTTTTTAAGTACTTTTTTATCTAAGATAATATGAACTATTAGTATGTTGGCCTTGAAGCTTTGATATTTTTGACATTAGATGTATTCATATTTTCCAATGATCTTTGAATAAATTGTTTCAATATTTTCATCATCTTTTTATTTAATTGAATTGAATTGAATTGAATTTTTTGGAGTTTGATTATAAACATGCTAGGCTTGCATTTTTATCCTAGTAATACTTGTTACTTATATAATTTAGTTGGACTTAATTTTTGTAGTTTTTTGGATTGCTTAAAATTTTGGCTTTGTTAATAATATCCATAAAATTACATAAAATAAAATATATATACATACATACATACATCTTAGCTACTATTATGATTACAACACAATCATAAATTAACAGTGCATTTATATTATAAGATAGGTGTTTTAGTCATCACATTATTCTAGTTTAAATATAAGATCATATAGTAAAATTTTAATATACAAATATCACTTTTGAATAACTTTAATACTCTAACTATCAAGGTTGAAATATTATCTTTCTTTCTTTATTTTACACTATATATAGATATACAAATATATGTTATTTTAATTTTAAAAAATTATATATAGGTTTAAATGAATATTAGAAGTAATATTACTATTTCCTTGTTTGCCTATTTTTCATGAAAATTAGAAATTTTTGTTTTAATTTTTAAATATATATAAAAAAGAAGAGAAGAAAATCTTATATATATAATAATATAAAAGTCTACCAAAAACAAAAAAAAAAGAAGGAGAAAATAGCATTTGTTTCCTAGTACAAATTATATTCAATTTATATTTCTTACATTATTCAATGAATACATTTGGTAATTTTGCTTTAACATTTAATGGCATAATACTATATATAATTCTTGATGTAATAATCAACAATTAAGTGTTACCAACATTAAATTAAAATTGATTTATACATGTAAACAATTGTGATCCTAATTTCATGTACGAGATTCTTCATAAATACTTGAGATTTCAATCCATTCAAGTTTACCATCAAACCAAAAATCTAAGAGCCCTTCAACCAATGTTTGTTTTGTCATTTACTAGTGGAGAGCCTACTAAGCTAGCGAACTGCTCCACTACCAGTTCTGTGCACTGGGTCCGTCATCGTGGGGACTAACTTGCATACCCCACTCACGCAAAATTACTATGAAAATCTGATGCAGAAATGCATTACCCAATTGCAGGCACGTTATTCTTTCTGCTTGCTTCCTGTAGATCAGATATTCAGGAGCCTCCAAATCACACAGTCTTGTGTGAGATCATGGACCGGAATTGTGAGAAGATCCAAGTCAAAGCTGGGCTGGGTGGGCTGATGGATTGATGGATCGATTCATGTGGAGCTGTAATCGTGGCAACTCAAGCTCGTGTGCGCGGAGAACCGACGGCGGCGCTCCATCGATCGATGGGATGCCCTTGTGGACTGTTCTGTTTTATTTTATTTTTTATTTTATTTTAATGTTTTTTCATAAGTACGTAATATTTTAGTGGTACTGAAAAAATAAATTCGTGCGATTCTCTGCCACTTTATACACATAATGGTTCATTATCACACTACTATGCATCAACAACGGAGTTACACACATCACTCTTGAAGCAAGGCGAGGGCCTCGAATGCTAGTTACTAGTAGCTCTGGCAGTAACTGCGAGCATTCATAGAACCAGTGCAACTCACACTTCCTAGATATCAACCAACCCCAGTGAGATGTGTACCCGGAACATCAGTATAACCGTATCTCTAGTACACGAGTAGCACAATCTCGGTCTAATTAAAACCAGTATACCCGGAAAACAGAATCTCAGTGAAACCGGAACCCGAATACCCGGGGAGAAGAATCTCAGTCCAGCCGGGACCTTTGTGCCGGGGGTAGAGAACCGGAAGGAGGGGATGAGGAGGGAGGGCGGGTACTAGAGTTGAGAAGAACAAGCAGAGAAGAGCGATGGTGCTCAACTTGCTCTCGATTTTCTTAACAGTTTCGTCGTCGTCGTCGTCGTCGTCTCGTGGTTGTGCTGGTCCCTTGGGACTCAGTCCACAATTCACTCCATTTCTTCCGACTTGTATTCGCGCATCTGTGTTGCTGATCTATGTAGCGCCCCCGCACCGCCGGGGTTGCACCGTCGCGTTTACCTCGCTTAATCGCCGCTGAAGAAGTTGCCAGGGGGAGCTTGCAGTCATGGTGTCCACTAGTAAACTCAAGTCGATTGACTTCTACAGGTTCGTTCCTCGCGGATTGCTCATTGTCCCCGTTTTGTGACCACGATGTCACTGATTTTTTTTTGCGCTACTCAGGGGGTTTCTTTGCCGTGGCCTTGGTAAGGTCTTATTATGTCTGTACCGTTTAGTTTAGTGTAGTGTAGTGTAGTGTAGTGTAGTTTTTTTTTTTTTTTTTTTTTTTTTTTTGGAGTTTGACTTAGGGTTTATGAAAGATGGTGACGCGGAGTATTGAGGGTGATCGTGCAGTTGGGGTCTTGTGAGAAGTGAAGATTTCTTGGATAGGAAACTAAGTCGTGGGCGCATTTGTTCAATGCGGTGGTGTGGGTTGACATCTACCGCCATTGAATTGAGAGTTGGCGTTCAGTTGTGCTTTGTGTAATTTATGGGTTGCATTTTTGTGCTTTAGGTCTCGGCAGCTCACGTGTATGCGGTGATGAGTTCTCTGATTTGATTTTGGAATAGTATTGGAGTAGCGGAGGGAGGCAATTTTGGTTCTATGCTAATTTAGCAATGAGTTTGCGTTGTTCCATTCATCGTGAAGAGACTCTGAAGTCTGCTACCTTGTTATAGCCGCGGTTTAAATAGTGAATTGGGGGGGGGGTCAGGGTGTTTGTCGGTAGGATACAGATCTAGTTTGATGTAGTATCATGAAGTCTTTAGTTCCTATGGTTATGGGATTGAGGGTTGGAGTGAGCATGAATGATGTATTTTTGTCTTCGATTGCCTTTTTTAAGCAAGATAGTTGGCGTGCTTCGAATATTTTGAATGCGTTTTGTACTCAATCTACCTCCTGGTAGGCACTAATGGTTCTTTGGTTATTGTGGAGCTTCATTTGTCAGTTAAGTGGAGCCTACTCTCAAATACACTATACTAAGACCTTGAAGATTTTGTTTAGCGCAGAAAAATACCAAGAGACCTGACTGAAGCGTCTCTATCTGGAGCTGGATTATCAATCATTGCTGCACTCACTATGGTGTTCCTGTTCGGAATGGTACCTTCCGCATATTATACCTTTGCTTTATTTTAGCATTGTAATGTCATCCGGGAAGTGTCAGAAAACAATCCTGGAAAGTCTCCGCGAAATAAGAAAGCCTCAATGTTTCTTTACTTTTGAGGTTTGTTGCTAACATTCTAAGCTTGATTTCACTTGACAAAGTTACATTGTTTTAATTCCTTATGCGGCGCTTTTTTCATTATTTGATCCATAGGAGTTGAGCGCTTACTTATCGACCACGACTTCAACCAGTGTAGTGGTTGACAGAAGTAGAGACGGAGAGTATCTACGGATTGACTTCAACCTGAGGTGTCTTTCCGTAATCATGTTTCTGCTGTTTTATGTTATTTCAACGGTTTGAATTGGCTTTAATGAAATTACTGAGAATTACCACCAGCTTCTGTCTCTTTAAAAACCTGGAGGCTTCTGCGACTCGTCAGAATGCCATTAGAACCCTTTCAATAATCAAGTACAGTCCTGAGCACCTTCACAAATGTTGCGCGCACAATTGAGTTATCTTCCTTGCTATTGCTGTTCTCAGTGACTCTGTCGACAGAAATAATGCGATTGACAAGGGTTTTTAGATTTAATGCTTTGTTTCACTAGGTGGGTCGATGATATGATGAATTCCAATCAGTTGTGCGGCTGTCTGTCTTTGTGCTGTTGCTCAAGACTGTTTTTGTTATTGGACAGTTTTTATTATTTTATTTTATTTTATTTTATTTTTATTTCTTCTCGTTTCTCTATGATGTTTAGTGGCATTATTTGGAAGCAAAATTACGGATTGTGAACTGAGCGATTGTCCAGCAAGCCCTGTAATATTGTTCGCTGTTGGGTGGTTGCCTTTGGCTTGCAGCTTTCCAGCTCTATCGTGTGAATTTGCTTCAGTGGACGTCAGCGATGTTTTAGGCACAGTAAGTTTTGTTTGCTACGGACCTCTTGGAGAGCATAACGAAACATTGTGTTACTTGTTTAAAGTTTTGTTTGGAGACGACTTTTATATGGTACCTTTCATGAAACGAACATTGATCATCACGGTTGATGCTCCATCTCAGATGAAAGAAATGTCTATAAGCTTCATTGTCTTGAAATTATTGCAGCATAGATTTAATTTGACGAAAACTGTAAGGAAATACCCAATCGATCCGCTATTGCAACGGATAGGGCAGGAGTTTCATGCTGGGTCTGTTCCAAATATTAAAAGTCATGGTGATGAAGATGTCGGAGAGGACATGTTCGAACATCTTGGAGAGGGTGCAGTGGAGCTCAATAAGAACACATTTGACGTATACGCCCAGCAGTAAGATTTGCGGAGCAATTTGCAGTATTTGGTCTTAATACAGCTTTCTGCTTCTTAATATGATTTTGTAGACATCGACATGGCAGTATGCCTTTTCGTTTCAGGCTAGTGTCCAAGGCTAAAAACTTGCACCTCAAGAACGCAAGTTGGTAAGACGTGAATTGTGCACTACTTATCCTGTTACGGCGTGCTTTTGAGGATTTTACAGTGATACGTTGGATGATCATCTACAGGTTCAGTGTTTTGGTTGTCAACTTTTACGCCCCATGGTGTCCCTGGAGCAACAAGCTTGTGAGTAAATTACAGTTCCTTTTCTGACTTTAGAACAACCTTAGCTGTCAGTCACATTTTTGTACGAGATTACGAGGTGCAAGGAAAGACTAACTCTTATTGCGTGTTTTTCCTTTGTGCCTGGCAGAAAGCCTCTTGGGAGAAAGCGGCCAAAATTATTGCAGACAAGTAGTAGCCTCCTTCTTGAAAAAATGTCGACTTGAATTGTGTGGTTTCGCGAGTGCATGAGTTGAATTTCTTCTGGATGTGATATCAGCAGATTAGAAACATGAAATGATTGAACTGACTTTTTTCTGCTGCAATGCACGCTGATTTGGGTGATTTAGTTGTGAAAAGTGTTAGTGGGGCTAAGTTAAAACTTACTGCTGTACAGATACAACCCAGAGATGGATGGGAGGATTTTGCTGGCCAAGGTTGACTGCACTGTGAATGTGGAGCTTTGTAGATCGTAAGCTCCCTATCTACTGATGTTTTTAGGTCATTGACAGCTATATGTAATTAGGTGAAGCCCTTTATTGCCTTCATTTTATTGTGCATAGATTTCACTTTTCAGTAATCTGTAGGCCTTGAATTTTTTATTCTGCAATAGTAATTTGCCCTGAGTTAGACCCTGTTTTTAGTCTAATACTCAAGTTTTCTCATGACACTCCAGAGGCTATTTGTAGTATCATATCATGATGAAATGTATTACTTAATCGCTAATCAATTGCTGATTACAGCCATCATATCCAAGGTTATCCATCTATCCGCATTTTCCGCAAGGGCCATGATGTCAGGTACATAGATTTTCTTTTCTAGTTATTACATGTCATATATACAGACTAGATTTTTGAACAAGCGTAGGAGTTGAAAGTTCTTATTTATCATCAGATACTCATCAAGCACGGTTTCTGCTCCATCATGATTAAAAGACAAATATGTTTGCAAAGTTCGCAACAAAATTCTTCTCGACGTATTTTCTGATTACTCTCGGAATGTGCGTTTGTTTTGTGCAAATTCTGCTTGGCTGAATTAATGATTACTTGGTTTGAAACATTAGAGGGTAAGTATTTTTCTGATCTCCAGACGTTTCATCGTACTTGGTTCGGTAGGGTCAATCTCCTGGTCTTAAGTTTGACATGCTTCAAAACTGACCGCTTTAAGGAACTTTTGTGTGTACTCTTTATTGAGCTTGTATCTGTAGTTTGTAAATGACTGCTCGTTGCGTATCTAATGCCACAGATTTAATTCGCAGTTTACACTTCTACTCTAAGAACTTAATTCTATCTGAATTTTGCAGGGATGAGCATGGGCGACATGACCACGAATCTTATTATGGAGAGCGTGATACAGAATCCCTGGTTGCCGTAAGTTTTCTTTCTTGGTTACGTTCTAAATGAATTATAACAATATATATCTGGAAGGGTAATGTTCTTTTATCTTCAAGGAATTCCCTAGGTCAAACATTCTTTAAACGTCAACTACTGAATTATTTACAAACTAAAAATAACTGCGGTGGCATTCGGGTCATGTAATTGGCGCGGGAGAACTTTTCCAAAATGTTTTGTCATAATGCTAAGCATTTAGCAGTCTTTACCTCTTGAACTCTTATTCGAATAGTTACTATTTTGAATTTCTGAACAGCTTCTATCAAGAAAGTCAAATCAAACATTCAATCACCTACAAACACATGAACTGAGTAGCCCACCAAAGTATCGCTGCCTATTTTGCACTTAGGAATTTTGCATGTTAGTTGTCCAACATCAAACGGAGAATCTATTGCAGGGGTACTGTGCTTGAGACTGTCAAGTCTAATTGGAGACGAAAAATGTGGTTTACTCACCATGTTTCTTCTGTAATTTCTAGTTTATGGTGGAGCTAGTCCCACCAGCTACGGTGGACGGAAAATTTCAGCTGGAAGACAAGTCTAGTATCACTGTGAACGCGACCATCAAACGTCCTGCACCTAAAGCCGGAGGCTGTAGGGTTGAGGGATTTGTCAGGGTAAAGAAGGTAAACGATTATTTTTCTTTTTCGTCTATCGCGTTATCAATGTTCAACCTCATTGAAATTGGTTAATTGTAATTCACTTGCTTAGTAGTGTCATCAGCTACTTGTGGCTGTAGGTGGTCGATTTCACCTTTTTCTTGTTTCATGTATTTTTTGGGTATAGATGGTGCCCACCCTCCATTGTTTTACACTCAAACATTTGTTCCTAAACCATGGTTTGAATCGTTCATCTGGTTCATATAATTTTAAGCATGGCAGTATAGCTGAGTTTTTTGTTTTTTTTGTTTTGTTTTGTTTTTTTTTTTTTTTGGGTGTTTTGGACTTTGAATGCTCGAACTGTATCATGTGGGTATTCAAACAAGGTTTGATCGCTTTTGTAAGCCTTCAATATCAAAAATTTCGAAAATAAATTACTTTTTTAGACTCCCTTAATCATGTGGAGTGCAGTGTCAGCATTGCATTACGATTATGTCTTTGGTGTGGCAGGTTCCTGGAGAACTGATGATTTCCGCACATTCTGGTTCACATTCCTTCGACGCGACCAGCATGAATATGACCCATTATGTTGGATTCTTCAGTTTTGGTCGTAAGACGTCATGGCGGTCTGTTCATTGGGTCAATGAAATGTTACCTGCGTTGGATAGTAATATTGATCGGTTAACAGGGCAAGTATTTCCTTCCGAATACGAAAACATCACGGTATGTGGCAATTGTATAAGTATACATGTCAGCCCTCACATACTTGAGTACGTTGCAAGTTAATCGTCCTCATTTTTATTCATGAGTTGCTCTTCAGCTTCTAATCCAGCTGTGTATGTACAGCACGATCATTACTTGCAAGTTGTCAAGACGGAGGTGATTACGCTTCACCGGAAACAAGATTTAAGGGTTCTTGAGCAGTACGATTACACTGCTCATAGCAATATGATTCAGTCTACCAAAGTCCCCGTGGTGAAGTTCCACTACGAACTCTCTCCTATGCAGGTACGCCAGTAGTAATTTTCTTCGAAATAATTATTACAACTACCAAACTTACTGTTGTATTCATTCCCGCAGCCAGCTTTAGCCGTTCTTATACTATTATTGAAACGTTCATTACACCGGATGTATCCTCAATTCTTTTGTCCTTTTTCCTGCAGGTTTTGGTAAAAGAAAATCCGAAATCATTTTCTCACTTCCTTACAAATCTTTGTGCAATTATTGGAGGTGTTTTCACGGTAAATGTCCCTAATCCCAACTATGTAATGGACTAAGGTGCTCAAAATAATTATTTTATTTTATTTTATTTTACTTGTTTGTTTACGTCATAGATAGAGATTGAATTGAAGATTTTGAAGACAATGAGTGCTAATTCGCATACGTTTTTGGTGCAGGTCGCTGGTATTATTGACTCTATGTTGCATAATGCGATGCATATCATGAAGAAAGTTGAACTTGGCAAACAATATTGAAACCCTAAGTAGTCCATTCCATCATCCTGATGTAGTGCTGTTAATTCTGATATAGCAGAGTTTTGATTAAACTGGTTCAATACTGCATCCAACGACCCATGTCATGATAGTTTCCCTCACAGATGATTGTCACTCAAAGCATTTTTTTTTTTGCAAGGTGTCGTAGTGCTGGTTACTCCTATTTGGTTCTCGGCTGGTGGATGAGGAGAATCGCTGTATCAGAAATGGTGATGCGAGCTACTCAATTCTAATTTTTTTCTCAAATTCAGCCATTAGAGCTCTTAGAGAATGCCTGATTTTATCGTATCCAAAAGATGTTTTTGCAAATCAATACCGGTTTTTGATTTTACAGTCTGCAAGGCTCCCCTAATGAGATCATTATTCATCGTTGCATGTTTTCCCACAATGAGAACGTGCTCTCGGGTAAAGCATCAACATGGCCATCCGTATCAGAAAGTAAACCCACAGTCGCATAGTGAAGTAACTCTTTTGTGATGTTGAAGTTCTAAAGTCGGGATGATTTGCACCTCTGCTCAGTCTCAACTTACGAAGCACGACATAAACAATCACGATCAATCCCAATTTAACAAGCAGGGATTTCTCCATTCAGACACATTTAAGCTCCCAGAGCTTACTACACGTGCCCTTGAGGCATGTGCTGTCGTCCACATCCTAAACCCAAAAACCGATGTAAGGCTGTCTGTCCACGAACGCTTCACAGCTCAGTTTATAATTAACCTGTCAGCAACGGCATAAACAAGTCGATTAACTTCGACATAGGGAAAGTCAAAACCTACAAATTGGGAAAAGGTCAGGGTCCTTTCGGTCACCCCAATCTTATGATGATTGTCAGAAACTTTGCAACTGGTTAACTCATAGGTGAGCGTCATAACTCTTGAGAGAGGAGCATCCTAGCATTAATTGTTACCGCCCACTTCGCCTTGCAGGTCCTTCCTCACATTTAACTCCTCAACGGATAATCTCGTTCATAAGTGAACCTCCTTGACCATGAAGTCGAACGTGTTGCGGAAGCATTTCATTGATTTGATATTTTCAATGCAACTTCAATATCCACGCAGATGATTTTAAACCACCACTCCACTTGAATTGAAACTGGGGCCTTCGCTTTCAACAGAAACCGACGCTCCCACCTGTTCATGAGCTTGGAAGAAAACACGATGAAAAGGAAAAGCGAACAATGGTTTCAAAAAAAAGGGACCGAGAAAAAAAGGAACAGGAGACCAACAGCTTCTTCCCATATAAGGCCGCCATGAAGTGAAGTACCGCGCATGGATTCTGCTGCCCTCCCACAGGGGTCTTTCAGAGCAGAATCTGGGCTTGTGAGGCCAAATTTAGGGAGACGGTCCTTAAGAGCACATGAGCCAGCTAAATTTGCAGCACTTTCAAGGGCAAGGAGGGCAGTTTGCACCCTCAGGTCAGACGAGCGCCAGAATCGTCGCAAACCATGCTGAAGGCTTCCATTAGAGGAAACTTTGGCCTGGTTTGATTGGGTGATTTTATTCCAGACTAGAAGTTTTTTTTACTAGCTAGCACAATGTCTAGTGTGCGCCAACGCAACCCTCTAACCCGAAAGTCAACTATGAAACACGTTCTAAGGAGCATGAAGACTTTTCCATCGCAACTATCGAATTGGGCTGTTCCAATAGTGCGGGAATGCAGTAATCTGAACTTCTTCTACTTTGGTTAAACATTAACCATGGACTATGATTGCCACTGATCACCCTTGGAGCCTTAATTTAACCTGCAGCAAGCCACCACAAACAACCTAGAATCACTATCCACTGCCTTAACTTGCTTTCGAAAGGGATTCGATGATTATTGAGGCAGTTGCAGTGATTCGAGGGAGTTTGTCAGACAATTGCTGAGGATGCTCTTGGGGTGTGATGACGATACAATTTTGGTGGCGCATCGAGGATGATAATCTATTTCTTAATATGAATCTCGCATTCTGGAACCAGCATCCACTTTCAAATCTAGTAGCGAGGGAAAAGAGCTTGAAAGTCATTACCATACATAGGACGGAGGGAACTGGTTCTCGATATTGGCGAGAACCAGACGCGGAGAATCGACCAGTATAAGAACCATCGAATACGGTGAATCTAATACCACGGATTCGAGGAAGAATGTGGTGGGGTATCGATGATTAGTAAACGAGTCGCTGGTCGATGTGAGGAATCGTTCCCCACCAAGCGGCAACGTGGAAGATACTAGCATAATTAGTAATTTTCGTGTCAGTTTAGCGACCGTTTGGTTGTGCGATTTCGTAGGATGTGGAACCGTTGGTCCACGGGGGAGCAGATAGCTGTGCAGCCAAGGCCGACTACGAACTACTAGGCTCTGACACTCTTGCAGTCTGCGCCCCCGCAACAAAAAGGACTCGCCTCCATCCCCCTGTCCGGTATCGTTAGTTTCTCTCGAACAGCTTCAGTATTTTCGTTTCCCGTCTCAGCGACGATGAGTTGGCGTGCAGCTTCGGCAGTTCACGTAAGCGTTTCGCCCTCCTCTCCCACTTTGGACTGGGTGGCGATGACTGTTGGGACTCTTCAAAAGCAACAGACCGCTAGGACATGAATCTCACGGGTCGCACCATGAGCAACAACAGCAGCAGCAGGAGGAGGAGAAGCAGGGGTTGAGTAGGGGATAGCATTGTTTCGGGATATTGTTTTCATACGGCAAACCGCAATGAATTGTGCTATTGGGAGCAGGTAGAGGTGCTTGTGTCGCAGGCACGGGATATTTCAGCGGGTGGGATACGTCACATTGTGCGGCAAGGGTGCGGGAAGGCATGTAGCACGGAGTAGATGTGCCTGCTCAGCTTGATAATACCACTAGATAAACATCCTCAGACGTTGTTTTTTTTTTTGTGCAGATGGAGCGTGCTCTTCTGGAGCGCTGCCCTAACAATTTGCTCAGAAGACGTGCAGCAGAGAATTACAAGGTGATTTTTGAACCTCTGGACTGTGGACGTAGTTTTTGGATTGATTGCGATTATGCTAGTGATTGGCATGCTGCCTTCAACTGAGAAAGTGAAGCATCGTAAACTATGTAGCTTTTGACTGTGCATGGTGTGTGTCACCCTCAGGTGCAGCCGAAGAATGTGTCGGAGCTTGCGCTTGTGAACTTTGGTCGGCGGCCAATTTCCACCTCAGCGGCACACATCTCGAGGGCGGCGTATTGCCCCCCTACGTACACCAGCCTGGCGGAGATAATCCCCACTCCAGGCTCTTCCATGGTGGAGAGGATTGACTCGCCCCGAACGCCCATGCGAAACCGTCTGGTAGAGAAAGCAGCCCGCGCATACCTACTCCACACTGACTCATTGGACAAGCGCCATCGGGAGAGCACCCCTTGGACACAGTCTTTCTCCCGTTTCCTCCCCCGCCTCTCTACCTTAACGTCTGTGGCAACGTCCCTTGCTCTTAATCCTTTCAATGTCTTCAATTCTGCCTTTCAAGTCTTCCGGTTCTACGTCACAGGCGTCCGTGCTCTGCAACCACAGCTCTCAGCATCTGTTTCCCGCTCCGTCTGTCGCTCCGCCTCCACGCATGTCCGGAGAACATCCTACGCACGCGAGCTTAAAATGTTGTAACAACCAGGCACCTTCCTTAAACTTCACCAATTTGATAAGCTGCTGTTGTGTCGCGATACCTTTTGATTTTCTGGAAGGATATCAAGCTTCGGTTGATGCAGAGGAGCAAGTAGACTCCTCCAAGCGGATTGCGCATCACAGATGATCAACCGCCTCTGAAGCCAGGTTTCATCTTAATTTTCTGGTCGGAAAGGGTATGGATATTGCGAAGTAAATTAATTTGCAAGTGGGAATTGAACCAGTAGATTGTAATTTACGGTAGTCTTTGTAGAGAGCTTGAGAATTCTGGACATGGCCCTGGAGAAAGAAACAGTTGTCTTTAGGGTAATTAGGTTCCATAGAAGACTCTGAAGGGTCGGATTTAAATAATTTGTGAGTTTTGATTAATTTTTCGGCGTTTCCTGCGATTGTGACTTGATTAGTGTAAGGGATATTAAACATGTCCACTCGATCCAGTACTGCTCCAAAGCACAGGCGCAGGAAACGGCGTCGTCCTGATTTATGGGTGAAATTGACATAGAAGAACTTCAGCTCTGTCACAGAATGTCAGTATCAGTGTTATCAGATTCTTCTTACAAAAGTGAACCTTGGCAGGGAACTTGTCATGCACATTGTAATTTCGTCATGGATAACATCACGGTTACTAGAGAAGGATTGGAGTAAATCGGTGTAGTTGAGAGCATTATCGGACCCAATGAATCCTTCGTTTAGAATCATTTGATGAGCAGTGTATGTTCTGTGCTTCGGTCTTCTGTAGAAACGGGAAGATTTTCCTGTCAGAAGATGCAATGGCTGTGTGTTTTTCTGCATTGTTGTTCTAGCTACGCGGATATTGTGGGTTGTGTATGTTGTCGTGACAGGTCATAAGCGTCGGAGGTAGCGGAGGTGAATCAGAATCGTAGTGGCGTTCGGACGTGTGTAGTTTATCCACTTCCTGCGGGGTCAGCACCAATCCGACAGAGCGTAGTGTGATTGAGGCACCGTAGGAGTGAACTGGAGCAAGAGTCTGTCTTTGCGCGTGGACTCAACTGCTGTCCTCTCCCATATCTCGCTTCTTCCCGTGACTGAACTTCCTTGGATGTATCGCTTTCTGCCTTATCATCACATCTTTAGAAATCTTCCGTCCCACGAGACGGCATCTGCCGTTTACCTTCGGAGCTTCTACGACCAGCGTCTTCATCTCCTTGGCCGTGGGATTTCGCACCTTCTGCACTCTCGCCGCGGGTTCGGCCTCATCTACGAAACCGGGCTTTTAGAGAAGCTTTTAAAGAAGCTTTTAGAGAAGCTTCTCTAAATTGTTAGTCTATCAGAAACGGTTTACTTATTCGCGGCACACTGACTCACATCCAGTGTCCAAGCCCCGCGCCGCTGTAACGTTAACACAGGAACCAAATCCATTGCCACCCATAGTTGCATTCTTTTTCCACATCTTCGCCTCTCTCTCTCTGGTGTCCGCTGCAAATTGGTTTCCGACTCAGCCCGCTGTCCACCGAGTCAGTTGGGTTGAAGAAGATAATCTTCTGGTCTGTAGTGCATTCTCTACGCTTTGGCTTGTAAACGTAGCGCACAAAGTTATAAAACCTGATTGGACCGTTGCGCACCTTCCTACATGACTCAAAACCGCAGAACCTACGAGACTCAATGCATCTATTCCACCGAGTTGTCTGCGTTGACTTTCACCCCGTTGACTTCGAGTGTACATGGTCAACGCGGTGGTTCGTTGGTGCATTGTCAATGCCTGTCGTGAGCTTGGATTCATTTGGATATGCTAAAATGAAGAGAAATGTGTATGTATGTATATATGTATGTATATAAATATAAATAATAAGAGGTTTCAATCATGATCTTTATGGATGAAATTTCACATGTGATGCAAGTTCAAAGTATCATGTGATATTTCAAAATATCACTTGATATCTCACCAAATCACCCACCTCATGAAATATCAAAAGAGTTGCAAGTCAAATATTGAAAACTGCATCAAGTTATACAGACCAGTCAGTGATATAATTTTATTTTATTTTATTTTAAAAGAGCAACTACTAATAATCCAAAAACACCAGTGTTCCAAAATTGACCTGAACATTCTTAAAATTCCAGCGATAGAACAAAGCACTGAAAGTGAAGACGACGAAGCAGGAACACAAATATTCCACGACAAAAAATTAGAGTGGCGTCGAAATTAGTGTGGAAGGCAAGGATCGAAGAAAGAGAGCATGGAATACAATTCAAATTTTCAGTTGGTGTTGAGCGCGGCAGCGAAGGAGGGGGAGGGAGGCAAATCGGAGACGACGATGGCGATGGCGATGGCGGACTTGCAACGGAGCTCCTGCCGACGACCCTCGTACTGCTTCACGCCGTCGGCATCTCAGGACGGCAGAGCTTCGCGTCGCATTGAAGCTGTAGCACGGAAATGCCATTTTCTTTTATTGATATTCATAGTGTTGTTATTGAGGGAGTAGGGTGCCAGATTGGGCATGTCGCGCGGGGGGGCTTTACTTAGTCCCTCGCTATCGTCGGACTCTGTTTATCTTTGCTTCTAGGCTAGGTCGCTCCTCAATCTTCTGACGTCTTCGCCATGCTACTTCTGTTGCTGCTTCTCGTTCCTTTCGCTGCCTGCGAGCTTATCTTCCAAGAGCGTTTCGACTGTACGATCCTGTCACAACTCTGGTTTTTTCCTCTATCTTCCGATTGTTTTGTTACGCACTCGGTTGGTGTCATTGCGACATTGCGTGACGAGTTTGTGCCGATTGTGATTGCCTTTGTAACGTTTGAAGTTTGTAGTAGTTTGTTCATGGTTTGAGGTTTTTTTGGAGTTGATCGTATGGCCGTATGGTTCGTTACGTGGAATCTGGTTTTGGAATAGGTATTAGTTTTAATGTTGTGAGGGATGGGAGGTTTGTGCGCTTTGTGCCGGCTACTGGTACTTGACCACGGCGTTGTTTCTGGTACTGGAAATTAGGCAATGTGAAAGAATTTGATTATTAGACTGACGCAAAATCTGCTTTCGAATTCTTTCAGCTTCAGCTCCAGTGATTTCTATGGTGATATTAGTATTGATAAGAAAATCCTGCATTATGTATCATGCGGGCAGGGACATTGGTGTATTTGTATTTGTATTTTAAGTTAATGTTCTTGACAAGTTTTGAGGTTCCTTCCTCAAGCTCCTTTTTTTATCTTCCGATAGGTGAAGCATGTCCACGCTCTGTCGTATTTTAAAATGAACATGTTAATGACATCAAAGGGGACATTTGCATTGTACTTTTGACGCTTGTCTAACTGGTCGAATTTGAAGTGTCTTCTGTAAATCCTGGCACTGGGAATATCAGGTACTGATAAAGATGAACTAGCAAGTAACCATGCGTATCTCCTTAAAATCTGTAGTCAATTTTTTTAGCAGATAATTAGCTTAAGTTTCGTGACAATGGGCTTTGTTTGTAACACTGTGATATGGAAAGTGAACGCTCGCAATTTACCACATCAGAGTTGAACTAACCATTTTCTGTAGATATTCGTTGATTGTAAAGATGGTTGGGAGAGCCGCTGGGTTCAGTCGGATTGGAAGAGAAGCGAAGGCCTCAATGGGAACTTTGTGCATACTGCTGGCAAGTGGTATGGAGATGAAAACGACAAAGGTTTGTGCTGATCAAACCGTGCGTAATCCACCCTGAATAGACCAATATTTTGTAAGTGATAATGTACGATGTCCTTCCGTTAGTTTCTTTCAACTAACTGATTTCTAGTGGCCGTCGATAGTCCAGGGATACTGCACTTATTCCCTACGGGCTAGTTATTGCTCTATCTCAGTTGCAGTTCCTGGCTGACTTTTGACAGGAATTCAAACAGTACCAGACTCACGTTATTATGCTATCTCTGCAAAAATTTCTGAGTTTAATAACAAGGGCAGGACCCTTGTACTCCAGTACCAAGTCAAACATGAACAGAATATCGAATGCGGGGGTGGCTACGTGAAACTAATGAGTGGTCAGGTGGATCAAAAGACTTTTGGTGGTGATACCCCGTACAGGTAAGTTTATATCTTCAGCTGCGTTGACTTGATCCTTCAACTTCCTTTTTACAAACTTAAGGTTTGGTAAGTTACGCATACTCGATTCAGTACTGGATAGCACAAAGCTGGGGTTACAGATCGATGGTCGAGATGCTATTCAGATATGTTGTGTTGTATTTTCTTGGCTTTTAAGGTTATAAGTGGTTGCTTAAGTCAGTATCCTACGCGAAAATCGTCTTTGTGCCAGCCTCTTTGGGGTTTGGAGACACGGGCTTAGTTCAATCATTACAATTTTTTAATAACTCAAATCCTATAATTATGTCATTGCTTAGCGTTCTTATAAGCTTGAGTGCCGGAAGCACGAGAAGTATGTTACGGTCTTAGAGTGGAACTGAATATGTGCAGTATTATGTTTGGACCTGATATTTGTGGCTCCCAAACCAAAAAAGTCCATGCGATTATCTGGTACAAGGGGAAGAATCATCCAATCAAGAAGACAGTGGAGTGTGAGACTGATAAGCTCTCCCACGTTTACACGTTTATCGTCAAACCAGATGCCACTTACAGTATTTTGGTAGATAACGAAGAAAAGGAATCTGGCAGCTTGTACAAAGATTGGGACTTGTTGCCACCCCGGAAAATCAAGGGCCCCACTGCCAAGAAGGTATTTATTTTTATTTTTATTTTTATTTTTTTATTATAACCTATTGGATTTGTTGTTTTGACAGCTCCTGCTCACAATGAATGTGATGCAAGCTTCTTGTGATTGTACTATCTATTTTAGCATTATGGTTGAAACTCAGATTTTGTAACGTTCTGCCTTGTTGTGTTGTGCTTGTTCTACGTGTTGGTTATTTACTACATTGTCTCAGCCGGAAGATTGGCATGATGAATTCATTCCAGATCAAGTGGACAAAAAACCTGAGGTTTGAGGCTGTTTCTTTTCAAATCTTCATCGAGAACCTACTGTAATCATTTTCATGCATGTCATGATGCGCTGTTATTTTCTCATGACACGACGATACAATCGTATGTGTGATGTGTTGCTTTCTATGAAGGCTCAGTTTGTCGCTGTGAACTTGCTCCTTTTGATGTAGGAGTATGACTCAATATCTAAGGAAATCCTAGACCAAGATGCTAAGAAGGTGTGTGAATTTTTGTACTTAACCTGTCTCTAGATATGGTGATAATTAGGGGAGGGTTAGCAATGTGTGCTGCGAAAAGAATAAAGAAGGCAATCCTACTGCAAGTCAATTAAGACTAAGTCATAGCTGAATGACTATATATTCTTTACATACATGTGACAATATGTAATTTCTGAGTTGAGAAACCTTTCTACACGCATGTAAGTTTTGGTATGCTTATTACTTTTATAACCCGCTCTCTCTATATTTTAGTTGGTTGCGCAGCTGGTCTCTGAAGAGTGTCTCGTTTGTATCTGTTACCCGCAAGTAACTATGAAACTTGAATGTTTGTTGCAGCCTGAAGATTGGGATGATGAAATTGATGGAGAATGGAAAGCTCCATTGATATCAAACCCAGACTACGAACGGCCATGGACCCAAAAGGTGAGTATCTGGCTTGTTGCATGTCTTTGTACATCTTGGTAGATTGTTTACATGGTGTTGAAAGTGCAGAATTGGAAATGAATGGATGAGGGGATCAGATGGTCTCACGTTTATCTAGAGCAGTTGGGGTTAAAGGAAGTATGCTGTCCGACTACAGTAGCTTGGATTTATCCGTGGCATTGTCGAGATGCACTGAATGAAGAAATGATCATTGTTATTGCATTGAACACCACGTAAAGGTCTTTATTCGCGAGCACTATGGTTTTTATTAGCAAGTTTCTGCATTGTGCTATATTTGATGAAATCTTAGAGGTAATGAGTTTGACTCTGCAGAAAATTAAGAACCCTGATTACAAAGGCAAATGGAAGATTCCTCTCATCGATAACCCAGGTAAACCACTGCATGTTTCGCAGTTAATTTGCCTACGCATCCTTAGTAACTTTTCTCGATTTTGCGTAAACCTGAGAATTAACTGTTGATGCGACGTAACAGAATTTGAAGAGGATCCTGACGTGTACGTTTTGCCTCCGTTGAAGTTTTTCGGCATTGAACTATGGCAGGTGTGGAAGGTTTTATTTGAGTGCAGCTCTACAGTTATTCAAAGCTTGAATCCATTATCATGAGCTATAAAACCAGCTGGAATTGAAGAACTGTAGGGCTGACCTTTAGAGATTTGCTCACCAGGTGAAGGCAGGGTCAATTTTCGATAATATTTTAGTTACAGACGATCCTGCGTATGCCAAGCAGTTTGCTCAGGAGACCTGGGGAAAAATTAAGGAAGTAAGATCTTTTGCCTATATAATTACATACATGATCGTTAGGTCTTTCATATTTACAAAAGTGTTTACTCCAAAACCTGCATTAAGACTCCACTTCTGATCTGCCAATACTTCGTAATATGAATAGGGCGAGAAGGAATTGTTTGAAGAGATCGAGAACAAGGAACGCCAAGAAGAGAAGGTAAGTTCTTTTCACATGTCATCTTGGGGCCTTCTGCCTACTGGCTGCTGTCATCTTGTAAATGCTCATTCAGGGCTCTGGCATGGTAATTGGCTTCTATGTAATATATACGAGACTCCTGATGATGTCCTGTACTGAGGTTTGGTATGTAGGGTTATGGCGTAGATTTTTGTGGTCAGGAAATCGGTAATTATCTACTTGAATGTTAAGTTGGCGAGCATTGGAGTCATACTAAGTTATTTTGAGGCCCTTGTCGTGAAACAGAACTGGGGCACTACACAGTAAACGTAAAAATTGATAATTGAACGTGAAATGTGGTCTGTTTAGAGACAAGCTGAAGCCAATCGCGCTAGCATGGATCACGGGAGGCGGTTCAGAGACCGCAATTTTGATAAAGGTGCTGAATACCGAAAAAGACGTGAGAGAGCGCGCTTGAATAAACGGAGAAGGCCAACTCATTCCGAGGTATGTTGTGGTTGTAACGTCAGTCCTGAAGCCATTCTGCCTTTAGGGAGTCCTAAATTTCGTCCGTTTTGATAGATGTCTTATCTACTGATATTTTCTGTGTAATTTACTTTCAGATTGACGATAGTGATCCAACTGAAGAGAAGGACTTTCATGACGACGATGACGGTGATGTGAGGAATTTTGTTTTGTGATTTCCACCCTTTGTTATTTAGCATGTCTGTGGAGAGGTGATCTTGAACCTCAAATTTTGAATCAGTTTGCAATCTCTGATTTGCCGCACATTTGTTTGAAAACCACCAAAGGTTTCAATTATCAAAATGTCGCTCCTCCCCTTCGAAACATTGCCGTCGGATTCTCTTGGTCGGATGGATTAAATTTACCCTCTAACGCTATACTGTGTCTTACAATTGCTTTGTGTGGCTTTTTGTAGGATCACGATGAACTTTGATCCCTCTGCTGGTACACGAATGGTTAAACGAGCAATTATGGAGAAGCGCTGAGCTAAACCACTGAGATGAAGATCCGACCTTCAGTACAAGTAGCTGTATCGATGCATCCTATTCGACGATCGCAATGTGATTCTTTCCTAGCCAAACCATATGTCCCTGCTAATTAGATCACTTGACTCCTGTTGTGCGTTACACACCAACATGCTCACATGCTATGAATGCTGACGTTTCTTATTTTGCTGGCGGAGGTATCGCTCTTAGTACTGTTAAATATAAATCTTGAACATACTCTCTTCTGCTTTGCTTCATTCTTACTGCAGATTAGTTGCCTTTTTCGCCCAGATTACATTTGTTTTACTTCACAACATCACTTAGAATTTTTCTATAGCCTAACTCATCTGGTGAACTTACATAAGGATATGTAAGGTTAAACTATGATGGTTTTCAGAGTAGGGCTTCTCGTCTTCAAAAGAAGACAGAAAGAATGCTCTTGGCTGTAGTTGGATTTTCAGCCTCGTACTCACTCCGTGCCAACATGTTTGTTCATGAGGTGAGTTGCTCAGGCAAAACCTCATTATCCTTTCCAGTGCCTTTGAAACTCACTACTAACAATGCTGTTTGAACAGAACTCTCATGATTCTCTTGCTGATTCTCTAGTGATTCTCTAATGATTCCTTGCAAAATTTTGCTTTCGTTAGTGGATTTCATTTAAAAAAATTAACATTCTTAAAAAACATAAAAAAAATACAATGAAAAGAAAATTATATTAATTATTAAGGCCTTTATAAAGCAATTATGGAAGTTAATGAAGGTATACAACTTTATTCCAGACAGAATTTTGTATTAGCATGCTACAAATAATTTCACAAAGAGCAAAATATATCTTCAATGTTGACTGATAAGGATGGAATCAAAAGAATGATTTTCAAATTGTCCATTAGCTTTGTCTCCAAGGATTGATAATATTACAATGTAAAAAGAACCTCAGGGCATGTATGATATTGCCTTGGAACAATGCTGCTTTTGCTATGAAAGGTCTATGGATAGGGCAGCATCTTTGTCTCCATTTCCCTCCTTAAATTAGTAAGGCTTTGGTATTACAATACAACAGGCATGACTACTAGACTTCCTACAATGAGGACAAATTCAATCTTGTGAAAGAAGAATTAAAAGAGATAGCATCAAACATGCCATATGTTGTCTACAACTGCATTGATCTCACTAAAGTAATGTACAGCACTTTTCTACTCACCACATTTAAAACAAGGAAGACCAATTGGCTCAACTACCAAATTAGGATGTATAGAATCATCAATAGGAAGTCGATAAGGACCATAATTCTTGGAATACTTTCAATGTCTTTTTTCATCCTTATCTTCCAATAACAAAATACTACTAGACAATACATCCTTTATATAGAGAATTGAGCATCTTGTCTTAATGTCAAGTGTTGTAGTCACCTCATGTTATAAATATACATAATTTCTTTTGGAGAATCTTTATAACTGATGTAGATAAGATCCACTACAAATACAAGCATATTATAAAGTGTCATGATGTTTAACAATAGATAAGTTCTCCGTAGTCATAGGCATGACTTGTATAAAGAACTATATTTAATCATGTAGACATTAAGTCCAAATATCAAGATAATCTAAGTTTAGAACTAAAACTCAATTTTCACATATTAAGCTGAGTAGAATTGATTCTTGTCCATACAACAACTAATAAGGACTATAAGATACCAAAGATGCTTATCTATTAAAGTAATAATCTATCACAATCTATGACAACATCAAGTCCCAATCATAATGGTTGCTATAAAATAATCCATACTTCCATAAATCACATTTGATAGTTTGAAAAACTTACTTAGCTAGGCTATCTACTTTAGGATGATTTTTAGATGTGATACAATGATCTATCTAAGCTTTGGTATGTAAAGCTTCAAATATCCCAAGAAACTCTCTTCTTTAATTTATTAAGACTTTAGAAGTATTCCAAAATATGCCAATAGTCAATTAAGAAAAGCAATAGTTGCCAATTTTAAAGAAGTTTGTTGTAAAGCCACAAATTCAATCCACTTTCTAAAATACTCTACCATCACAAATATGTATTTAGCTCTATATGAGATAATAATAAGTAATTCAGCAAAGTCCAAAGACCAATAATAACACAAATTCATGATAGGTAATGCTTTTAACTGAGGAGATAAGATATTAAAACTTGATCTAACTTGATCACACACTTTACACCAAAAAACATATGTGGCCACTTATTAATATATATTTGACAAGGACACAAATTAGAAGAAAATACATAAATTCATGGAATTTGTTTGAAAAGAAAAGTGACAAAATAGAAGAAAGTATGTATATTCAAGGAAGAACTAGAATGGAATTTATCAAAGACTACAAAACATAAGATTCTTGAAACTAGACTAAAAATAAGAAAAGAATTGACAAGAGTGAGGAAGGCCTCACTCTTACTTCTATATATACTACTTAACTAAGAACTATATGGCAACATGCTATAGGACCTCTAATACACGTCCAACTTGTAGGCCACATGTCTAATTTGCAAGGCCAATTTCTTAGATGTGCGCCATATGTCCAACTTGTATTATAAGTGGTCAACATGTCAACATGTGGCCTCCTTGTTGGCCAAGTTTTCAACCTATCAATCACCTATACACATGTATAAAGGTGTCACAGACATATACATTTATCTCAATAGTTACTTATATGATTAAGTAGAAGTATGAAAATATAGAATAATTTCATAAAGTCTTTTAGAATAGCTTCATAGAAGCTTCATAGATGCGGTTTTGACTTTAGATGTGTTTATAGATTAGAAACATGGCCAAAAAGCTAACCATGTATTAGTAGCTTGTGGAACAAGTTATCTACATGTAGTAGCTTATGGAACAAGCCAACTACATGGCACATACATAGATAACTTGCCTTGCAAGATAAGACATGTGGCTAATAAAGTCAACACATGTTGGAGGTCCTATAGAACATCACCACGTAGCTCTTGGTTAGATAGTATGTATGGAGGCAAGAGTGAAGCCTTCTTCACTCTTGTCAATGTTTTTTTAGTCTTAATCTTGTTTCAAGACTTTCTAGTCTTCTTGATTTTAGCAATAGCCATTCTAGTTAATATTACATCACCTTTTAAATGACTTTGTAGTTTTTTTCAATGATAGAAGAATATATTAAGGATTCTCTTTCTTTGAGATTTATGTCCTTGATAATTTGACAAGAGTGCTAACATATTATTTTTGTCTTGTTTTAGAAGTGAGTGGATTACCCCACTTCTATTGTTGTATTTTGAAGGTTACAAAATATCCACCTTTAAATAAAAATCTTATTTTCTAACATTGATCTTTTCCTTAAAGAGAGTGGATTATCCCGCTTTGTGGGATTTGTTTTCAGAGGTTGCGGATTACCCTCTTCTAATTTAACTTTTGAATTCTTTTGAGTTATCTATGGAAGAAAAGATTATGGATGCTATTCTCAACAGAAGTGAAAATAGATTTGTAACTATGGTAGATCTTCATGAGCTTGTCAACACTCTAAAAGTAGAAATCTCATATATTTTCAACGTGAATCATAGAAGTACTATGTCTACGCATATAGAAGAAGTTTAGAGTCTTTGGCAAGAAGTTGTGCAATTGAAAGAAGCAAGTAAATCGACATTACAACCAAATCCAGGGAGTTTTGCTTCTACAAGTATGACGAGGATAAGGATTAGTATGCCTGAGAAGTTTGATGGAATAAGATCAAAATTTTGAAGATTTTTGCAACAAGTCAATTTCTATCTAAAGTTGCAGCCTTTCCAATATCCCGATGGATTTATCCAAGTCGGGTTCATAGGTGCACTACTATCAAGAAGTGCTCTCTCTTGCTTTGTACCTTTAATGGAAAAAGATTCATGACTTCTTTATGATTTGAATTCATTTCTAGAAGTGTTTATGGCCACATTTGGAGAAAGTGATCAAGAACAAATAGCACAGTCCAAGCTTTTATCATTATGGCAAGGATCAAAATTAGCCACTATATATGTTGTCAAATTCCAAAACCTCGCTTGCAATATGGATTGGAATGACAAAACACTTATCAACCAATTTCAATATGAGTTGAAGGATAGCATCAAAGTTTTGTTATTAACAATGCCAAAAGTAGAATCTTTCAAATAATTTATTACTCAAGTCATTGCATGGGACAATTATTTATTTGAAAGGCATCAAAAATAAAGATTTGGTTGAAGAAAAATAAGTGAAGTAATGGCGGTAGCTCCCAAGTTTTCTAAAACATATTTGTCAAAGCCGGAACCAATGCAAATTGATATAATATATTTTAAACCTCTCATGAAGCAAAAAAAGACTCGACATTACTAAGAGGGGTTATGTTTATATTCTAGAGAAGCCAAGCATACTACTCAATATTGTCCAAAGAAACAACACAATTACAAAATGAGGAGTACAATTATCAAAGAAGATAATGTATCCAAAAATAAGTTTTTTCAACTATAATAGAGACCGTGCGACTGGAATCATGTGAAACACCTAGTAAAGGTCCTATCCTCTCCTCAGATCCCTCACCTTGTTTTACAATAGAAGTATATTTAGAACCTAATAATCATAAAATCTTTGCTTTATTAGATTCAGGAGCCTCAGCTTGTTTTATAGATAAAGATTTTGCCAAAAATCAAAAAATACCTTTAGTCAAGAAAGTTAAATCCGTACATGTAGAAATCATAGATGATCATTTGTTGTCTTTTAAAAATATTATCCCTCAAACTATTCCTTTAGATGTAGCAATTAAAGATCATAACAACATAGTAGTATTTAATGTAATAAAATCTCCTTCTAATTCGATTATTTTAGGATTACCATGGCTAGAAAAATATAACCCTCAAATAGATTGGATTTCTCGTAATCTTAGCTTTTTTGATAGTATAATCCAAAATTGCATTAATAAAATAGAAGTACATAAGTCTAGTACGTCCAAATTTTTACTAGTAGGTGTAAAAGCTTTCATGCATGCTGTAAAAGAAGGATCATCTTTTGCTATATATGCTACATCTATTTCTAATGATGAAAAAATATCTTGTGGTATTCCTAACTAATATCAAGAATTCCAAGATATTTTTGAAAAGAAAAATGTAAATATTCTCCCCAAGCATTAAACTTATGATTATTCAATTGATCTGCAAGAAAGAGCTCAAGCACCATTCGGATCAATCTATAGCTTATCACAAAATGAATTGGTTGCATTAAAAGAGTACATTGAAGAGAATTTGGCAAAGAACTTCATATGCCATTCTAAATCTCCAGCTGGGGCTCCTATCTTATTTGTGAAAAAGAAAGACGGACCTCTACAAATGTGTGTAGATTATCGAGGACTCAACAAGATCACCATCAAAAATAAGTATCCTTTGCCTTTGATTTCAGAACTTCTTGATCAATTCAATCAAGCAAAGATCTATACCAAAATAGATCTATAATGACGATACAACTTAGTTCGTATCAAAGAAGGAGATGAATAAAAGACTGCTTTTCGAACTAGGTATGGACATTTTGAATATAATGTCATGCCTTTTGGACTCATGAATGCATTGGCCGCTT